GGGCAGGACGCAGTAGTAACTTCCCTGTTCTTCCCTACTTTGTCAGTAATTGGCTTATGAGTGTGGTGCAGGTAGGAGGAGGCAGGAACTGCATGGGCACCTGCCTTTAGTCCTGGCACCAACAGGAGTTACATGTGGCTGGTAATGCCCTTGGTCTCAAGTGGGCACCCCCATTCTTCCTGTTGCAACACCTATCTCCTGTATTGCTCTCAGTAGGCTCAGGTCACAGTCACTCTGACAGGCCAAGTTCAGTTCACAAGGCAGCTTCTCCCTGAGCCAGCATAGTGGAAAATCAGAGGAGTTCTAGAAATGGGTGTATGGAGGAGTTTCTGCTGCCTAGATTAGTCCAAATTCAGACAGTTGTTCCCTTCTCAAGACTGCACCTGGCTACAGCACCCTGGGGGTTCACGGGAAAATGATATAAGGTACTTTTTGAAAGCAAGTTTTCTGGGTAGATTTCAGGTTACTTATCAGAGTGGTCTGGAAGCCAGTGAAGATTGTGGGACTTTCTACTTGACTGTTTATTTGCTTATTTATTATTTATTATGCAGTGCTGAGGTTGAACACAAAGCCTCAAGCATGGTAGGCAGTGCTCTACCACTGGGCCACACAGCCTTGTGGAACTTGCCAGTAGCTATGCTTGCGAGTATCTTCTCTGATAGGATCCCTTTCACCCTTACCCCCACAGAGGAGAGACTCTTGCTTCCCCTGGAGCCAGGGTGGTAGATACCAAGATTTATTTTTTTTCCTTTTACTAGGCTGTTGTCCCAGGTATCTGCATCTTTCCAAGCTTCCATCTCTTACTGATTTCCAGTGTTTTGCCATTATCACTTCTCTTCAAAATGCACCTATAACCTTGATTCTTTGGTTCTTTGTGTAGGTGCAGGTGATTCCTGGGCGCCTCTATTCAGCACTGGAAGGGCAGCTGTGGGGCAGGCCTATAACCCTAATCCAGCCCACTCAGAGCCAAGGAGGGCAGGCAAGGGCCAGAGAACTGGTGGACAAGGTCAAATAGAGGTCACCTTGTAAGGGTGGCTCTCTTCAGTCTACTCTGGCTGCTGTGGTTCCACAGCAAAGACCTATGTCCTAGCTGTCCTAGTGAGATCCTCAGACTTCCTTAGTCTTTCCACCTTGTGCCCACCCATCAGATTCCTTTTACTTACCTTAGCCATTCTCTTCTTAGTGATTGAAGCCAAACACTCTGACTTTTTAGGAAGCAAATCTCTACCCTTGACACCCATTTCACCGGATTCCCAATGAATGCTGTTACCACTGAAGTTATACCTACAAAGGCTGAGGCTAGAGCAGTGTTTACATAGAGCTCCCCAGGCAGTTCTGATCGGGTATGAACCGCTTTTGTAGGTCTTATTTAAGTCAATGTGACCAATGTGAAAACATGTATGATGTAGGGGTTTGTCAGATACCCTCCGATCCCTGCCCTTCTGCAGCTGGAGTACATTCACGCATTCAGAAACGTGGACTGAGGACCTACTAGGCATGTGCCAGGCATCGTTTCAGCTTCTAGGGGTGCAATCAAAACAGACAAAACCCCTCTCTACTAAAGTATACATTCAACAGGAGAGGAGGGAACAATAAGTAAAAGAGAAATATACAGTGTATTACATTCTAGGAGCAAAACCAAAGCAGAGGAGGGCTATGGAGGAAGGGCAGAAGGCCAGTGCAGCTGGTGTGCAGTAAAGAAAAAGAGGAGTAGAAACTGGAGTCAGAGTGAAAGTGGTGGAGGAAGGAGGTGTCGGTGATCTCCACTTTCACCCATTTAAAAAGTGAAATAAAAGAATCATCATCAGGAAGTTTGAAGCAGCCATCAACTGAGTAGGTGTGGAAAGGCTGGGTAAAGCTTCCTCCCATGCAGCTGTTCTCATTTTGCCAGTATTTATGGAGTATGTCCCCAGAGCAGGCACTTCTCCAGGACAAATCATCACCCTTTACTTCTGTGAATATTTGGTGCTGAAGATAAGGCACGGAACAGCCCTTGTTTCACAGAACTTATCACTAACACACGCTAAAATGTGCATGGGTTTTCTTCTGAAAGAACACATCATCACCACAATGAAAAAGAGGTGCTTAAAAAGAAAAATATTATGGTAGGACCATAAATCCTAAACATTCTTTGTCTGTTGTTTATTAAAGGAGGACACTTTCCAGAATCCTGCTCATTTGGAAAATTGGAAAACTCCTAACAATCACCAGAAATGGTTTTATTTCTCTTAAGTATCCTGACTTCCCATTGTATATTTGGCTGATTAGACTGCAGTGCACATCAGGAGAAAGTTCATGCACTGGGGCTCAGGCTTTAGCTCTGTTCTCTTTGTAGATCTGTAATGCTGACTTCTCCCCAATTCCTTGCTGCAAACTAGGCCTCAGGAGAGCATCTCATTCACTTCTTCACCCACTCATCCACTGTCTTTTTAAATGCCTCATAAGCACTGGGAACCAAGGGCTATTTTCTCTTATCTTTACCCCCAAAATGTGAGCATAAGATAGAGGGATGAGGTCAGGTCTGGTTCCAGAAACAGAGACACTAATACATAAAAAAGTAGAATGAGTGAATTTGGATGAGAAGAACTTGGGGTTCTTCTCATCAGAAGACAGACAATAAGTAAACTGTAAACCAGTACGAAACATGAGAATGCAAGTGCTATGAGAGCAGATGGGCAGATGAGAAGGCGGAGGACGGCAGAGCACATGGTGCTAGGGTAGCACAGTGGTCAAGAAAGGATGCTCATGGAAGGTGGCCTCGTAGTAGATCTCAAGGCTCCAAGGCCTAGAACAGCAATGAGGGCACAGGGACAGAACGGGCCAGGTAGGTGAGATCAGACTGGTGTCAGGGGAGGAGCACAGATGGAACCCTGTCGGTCGACAGCTCAGCCTGTTCCATATTGAGTCTGGGGAAGACAGAGGGAAGCTACAGCAATATCGGGGGGGGCGGTCACTGCAGCTGGCCTTGCTGTTGTGAGAACAGACTAGCGGTCTGGCTGGAAATTACTGCAGTAATCCAGGCCAAAAGCAGAGTGGAGAAATCATGTCACAGACCGTCTCGGGCCAGGAGTGCTAACGGGAGAAGCACTGATTAATCTGCCTCCCCTCTCCCCTGATCTTTAGGGAGGGATCTTCTTCCCATTGTGAAACAGGGAAAACAGGCAAGGTAGCCAACTTGCCTGAAATAGGATATTTTTCATAGCAGACATTTTTCATAAATACAATCCACTTGATAACATCCTTTACTTAAGAACTTTTGTACTTTAAATCCCTTAGCCTAGGTAAGAAATGCCTTCCTTGTGAACTTTCCAGACTGTTACAGCTTGATTTAAGAACAGGGTGAAAAGTGGTTTTCTGCAAGCCTCATGCAACTCACTCATTAAGCACCCATATGCCGTGTTGGATTTGGCTGCGTGTTACCTATTTTAGTTCTCTTTAACAAAATCTGAGCATACTCATGGTTAAGTGGACCACACTTGGGGTTTTGTGAACCTGCTTTGGGGAAGTCTTTATAAATAACCTCAGGTTGATGAGGAAGTCAGATCCTCCATAACTGCATGTTCCCAGATTTTAAAATGTCCAGTATCAGATGCCCTTGAGTGGCTACTGTCCTGGACAAGCACAGCTACTCCTTCGTGCATCCTGTTTTGCTGGCAAAAGACTAACCTTTTTTGCCGGGGGATTCAAGTTGTCTTCCCTGTCCTACAATCTCCAGGCTCCTCCTGTCCTTCCACTAATTCCATGGCCAATTTGGGAGAGGCCTTGAAGGGTAAAGCCCTAACTGGTGAGCTCTCTCCTCCCTTTCTTGCCATGTAGTTATTATAAAAGGCAAGTTCTCATTTTAAAAGCACATGGCTTCAAACACATGGCAAAGCTAGCAGATCACCCTGGGTAGACTGTTGCTCAGTGACTCCTGGTGATAGCTTGAGGAGACAGAACCCTGGAACTGGCCAGAAGCTCAAGAATTTAGTCAGTTTATTTGCTCACTGTGATCAGGGCAAAGGGCCCTTTTTCTTCTCATGTTACAATATGGAGAAGTCCTTCCCTTTCAAACAAAAAACCCTTTAATACATTCTTGCAGGATCGACCCACTGGTGGTACATGCATGAGCATCCCATCAGGAAGCTTGTACCACCTGATGGAATTGTCCCATGCTGCTGGTGGGACAGTCATGCATGTACCAGTGGTAGTTCAGAGTCAGCTGGGAATGAGACATATGAATTTCAGCCCTTTCATGATGAGTTAAACATCACTTTACCTGAATAAAAGAGAAAGAGCTAAGCATGAATCACATTGGGCAACTTGCCTTAGGGATGGGTAGGTACATGGCATGATTAGCCGAAACAATCCATTCAGCCAGCTTTCCTCAAAGATAGAGAACATTACCACAAGATTATGAGAACCAGATATAACCTTTAATTCTGATTATCTTGAAAAAGTCCTTATTTTTCTGAATCACAACTTAAAATTAGTAATAGGGCTATAAAGTTTTATCTTCTTCAAATAAGGAGACCTTATAAGGAAATTTGTTGTATTCCAAAAATTTCAAGGTGCTTCTCCACAGCTGTAGTAATCTTCACTACAAACCCTACGTAGATAATGGGCCTTTAGGGATTTAAAAAATCCCAATGTATAGAAGGAAAAACGAGGTATAGTGAGGTCAAAAAGTGTTGCAAAGCCCACACAGCACACAAGGATCAGAGCTCAGAGCTTTGTCAGATTCCTGCTTCTCTCTTCCATGCTCACCCCAACAAATGTAAATTATGGCAAAGAAACCCTGAACATCAATGAGTTTCTCAAAAAAAAAAAAAAAATTTTAAGGAATAAAACTTGTATTCGAAGATTTAAAATTTTTCAATTTTCATGGCATCTACACTAAAAAAAAAAGTAACAGGAAACACGTGAAATTAACTTAAATAAATGTTTTAATTCAATAAATCAAAAATATCATTTCAATAGATAATCAATGTAAAAGGTATTAATAAGATGTTTTACATTTCATGCTAAATTTTAAAAATCTGGTGTATATTTTATAATTACTCTGTTTTTATTGGATGCCAAATTTTGATTCAAAGTATTTATCTATATTTAGACTTCATAAAGCTTACAATTGAAAAAGTAGATTGGCAAATCTACTTCATTCCAAGTATCCTTAAAAGTTTTTCCAGTAACTGAGTTGCACATTGATATTAAAGTTACAATTTTTAAAAATTAAAACTTGAGCTCTTTGGTGGCACAAACTTGAGTCACCTGCAGCCAGTGGCTGTGAGGCTTGAGCCAAAGCTACGAGGGTGTCAGCACAGGGCATTGCTGTTAACAGGCATCTTCCAAGGTAGACTGTTTTCCACCTCTTACAACAAAAGCACTTCTTGCCTGGGATTTAGCTCAGTGGTTCTGGCGCCTGCTTCACAAGCGCAAGGACCTGAATTTGATCCCCGGTACCAAAACAAACAAACAAAAGCACTTCTTTTACCTGAAACTCTTCAGTGTTCTCAATATTTTTAAAATAATTAAAATGATTCTTAAATTTTCTCATAGTATGCTGTTTCCTTGTGAACTTTAAAGTGCATTCAGATTTAATAAATCAGAAATCTCTATTAGATTATAAAAAGGCTTATATTTAAATGAATTCTAAACCCATTCAGTCATGAATCTTTCTTCAGTGCAGATATTACTAAGGCATGTTAAACCTGAAAAACCAGTTTTAAAAAGTGATCCAACTATATGTTTTTCAAAGCAAGAGGGAATGTTTTTGGAGTTATTTATTTACATGAATAAGTCCTTAAAATCAAAACATGGAAAATTTTCTATGCCTGTGCTTTAGAAATAGCTCTCAATTTACTCCATGATCTGGCTACAGTTTGCATTTAAAGGGTAGATGCTATCCCACAAAAGTACTAGACCTAAGGACAACAGCTCTGGTCTTTATTTAACATATACCTGTGTGATTCTCAAATTTACAAAACCCACTGAACAAAACAGATACCAAAATTTTACCACGAGTGAGTAATTACCCTGTGTTCAAGCTCCTTGGATACTCAGATGTTGGAGCTGATGAAGGCTGAATGAAGGAGCACTCTGCCCTCTTGACATGACAGTGCTACATCTTGGCTCTCAACCTTTTGGCTTGTTCCCGCAGCTCCATTTTTGCAATTGCTGAGAGGTGGACTTCGTCAGGTCCATCTGCTAAGCGCAGAGCTCGTGTTAGGGCGTACCTGGGAAAAACAAAACAAGCAGGGATTAAGGAAGTTATCAAAGAGGAAACTTAAACTCTAAACTTGTGATTTAAATTCAAAACCATGATAATACTAACGCCACCGAGGTGGGAATAAGACAAAAGGTACATGGAAAATCAAGGAATAGGGCCAGAGATTTAGCTCTGTGGTTCTGCCGCCTGCCTTGTAAGCACAAGGACCCGAGTTTGATCCCTGGTACCAAAAAAGAAAAGAAAATCAAGGAAGAAAGTGAAAGGGCTTCCAAGATGCCATTTCAAAGTTCCCAACTTGGGAATTTCAAGATGGTTGAGTAGAGTGCCTAATGCTCACCTCCTCCTCCACAAAGAACCAATGTACAGGTATAAAGCTCCATTCTGAGATGAGTAACCAAAGAGAATGTTGGAAATCAGCCAGAGACTGAAACCTCAAAGGATTAAGAGTGGTGGGACAAAAGCATAGTAAGAGAAACAAAACACCCTAATACATAGAGAAGAGGAGCTTCTCCTTTGCAAAGTAAAATTGAAAGGAAGCACCCTGAAAACTCTACCAGAATGCATGTTGGCATTCTAGTCCTGAGTACTAGAGGTTTTATAAGCCTCACAGGTTTGTTACTTACTTAGGTAAGTAACCTGAAGTCTGCATAGAGTTGCTTTAGAAAAAGACATCACATTATTTACTAGGGAAACTACAGGCTTCTGTAGCCAGTAGCCACGTTGAGAAGGGAGCTACTGTCAGAATTTGGACTGCTCTGGGGCTCAGAAACACCTGCACATTCACATCTCTGGGCCTCCACTGCTCTGGCTTTGGGGATAGCTGCTTGTGAACCCAACTTGGTCCAGCAGAATGACTGTGACTTAACCACAACTCAGGACTTGTGTATTAGGCGGACAGGTGACACAACACAGAAGAGAATGGTATAAGACATCTTTAAGAACCAACAGACTAGACCACTTGCCTGCTGAGATCGAGGCTAAGTCAGACATGTGGCCATGGGCCTGAGGCAGAACTAAAGGCAGGTGCTCTACAGTTTCCATGCCCTCCCTGCATGCCATCCTGCTGCTCTCCTGTGCATAGCGCATGCTGACAGGGCTTTAGGCAATTCGGTGGTATAGCTGTCACCCTCTCCCCAGATGAACAAAGTAAAAGAAGGCTCAGAGAAATACTACCTCGATTCACCCAGTTCTGCTCCTAGGCACTCACTTCAGATAAAGGGCTTGTGTGAAAAAAGCTTTGGATCTGGCTGCTTTCTACTACCTCAGGTGTGCACTGTCCCTAAAGCAGAGAGAAACTTCAAGTTTCCTGCATTCCCATGGTTTCTGCCACTGCTGTGCCCCTGCCACACACCACGGTCAGAAGCGAGTGACAGCATCACAGCACTGGTACTGTGGTAGTTCCTGCCACCACCTCTCCCCATGCAGGATCTGGCTGTGAACCTCTGACTCGTAAGACAAGTTATTCCAGGCCCTTGCCACTGCTGTGACCACCAGTGCCAGAGGCCTTGCTAGTAGCAGAGCTAGAATCAACAGTGCCTGAGGAAATTCCCACTGCCCAGTAGGATCATTACTCCCATTGTGGGAGAAGTCAGAGAGGGAGCACCCTTTGCTGTCAACACCACAACTGCCTGAGGTGCTAGGACGTCCCCACTCTTGCATGGCCCACAGAAACAGATTTCTTTGACTTCAACACAGTCAGTACACACTGCCCAAAGTCATTAACTACAACCGAGAGTACACTATGGATGCCCAGCTAGGACTAAAGCCAATATTGTACATCAGACCCACACTCCAAGACATTCCAGGGGGAAACCACTTGCTACAAAGGCCAACCAACCTATAAAAGTGGTTGTTATATGTGGATCTGGAATGACCCCTACACGCTGTGTGTGGATGGATTGGTCCCCAGCTGGTGATGCAAGTGGGAGGACATGGATCCAGGTAGAAGAGATGTGTCATTGGAGGCATGCCTCTGCAGGTACATCTCATCCCTGAATTGTCTCTCTCCTTCATTTCCTTCTTCCTTATCCCCTCCTGCCCACCATGAGTAAGCTGCATTGTTTCACCATGCCCTTCTGTCATGCACTGCCTTGCTAAAAGCCCAAAAACAGTAGAGCCAGCTGACCATGGACTGAGACCTCTAAACATGCCAGCTGAGCCAAAACAAACCTTTCCTGTGTTAGGTTGATTTACTCATGGTATTTGTCACAGTGCCTGTTATGGTTTGGGTCTAGATGTCCCCCCAAAGTCTCATGTGATCATAGGCTTGCTCTAGAGTGTATGAAGCTGGAATCGATTCGCTATACAATGCTAGTTCAAGGACACTAGGATTAAGAATGTGAGTGCTACCTGCCCTAAGTAGTCTGAGTAAGATAAAAGGGACAGGGAGACACTGTTAACTCTCCTGTTAACCCTTGCTGCCTTATGTGCACCATATAGTTTCTGTTCTTTTATTTATTTATTTTTGATACCAGGGATCAAACTCAGGACCTTGTGCTTGCAAGGCAGGCAGCAGCACCACTGAGCTACATCCCAGGCCCGTGTTGTTTCTGTTCTGTGAGGCTTGTTTGCCATCCAGCTTCAGAGTCAGCCGTTTATGGACTGAAACTGCTACAGATCGTAAGCCAAATAAACCCATTCCCCTCTAACATTGAGTGTTGGTTACTTTTTCTCAGCAATGAGAGAAAACTAACACAGTGACTGAGACTTGACTAGCACTGTCACAGATATAACTGATATAACAGATGCACAAATTTCAATGTAAGAGCACAAAAAAATCTGAAAATGCCAGGTGATATGACACTTCCAAAAGAATATAATGACTTTCTGGCAAACATCCCAAAGAAATCAAGATGAAATATCTGATGGGGAGAGTAAAAGTATGAGTGTTCTTTTTTTTTTTAAGTTTAATGAGATCCAAGACAGTACAGACAAACTGTTAAATGAAATCAGGAAGACAATACAGGTTTTGGGGTGAGAAATTCAGCAAAGAAATAGAGATCTTGAAAAAGAATGAAAAAAGAAATCTTGGAAATGAAGATCTCAATAAGTCAGATAAAAAGATACAACTGAAAGCCTCAACAACAAAAGAGATTAGAAAAAAAAGTCTGAATCTGACAACAGATCTTTTGAAATATCTTAGATTAAAAATAAAAACAAAATAAAAACCCAACAAACCAAAGAAAACGAACCAAGCAAACAAACAAAAAGAATGAAGAGTTTCAAGACCTTTGGGACAGTATTAAATGAACAAATACCCATTTCTGCAAAGCATGCAAAAGTATAAAATCATACCAGAAGAGTAGATACACAAAAGAGAAACACAAAAGAATCTAATATTTTAATACCATAAACTGTTGCCCACAAAAATGAATCAGAGGAAGAACAAAGAATATTCAAAACAACTAGAAGGAAATCAGTAGTATCAGGAATATATGACCTACTAAAATTGAATTAAGAGGGCATAGAAACCTGAATAGACTAATGGCAAGTAATGGCAAGACTGAGTCATTAATAAAAAGTCTGTGGGATTGTGGTATAATGAATTGGTATAGTGCTTGCCTAGCATATGTGAGGCCCTAGATTCTATTCCTTGTGAGCATGTGTGCTCACACACACACACACACACACACACACACACACAGAGACACACACAAACACATACACGCATGCACAAAGTTTCCCAACAAGAAAAACCCAAGATTCACTAGTGAATTTTACCAATCATGTAAGGAAGAAATGTCATTTTTTCTCAAACTATTCCAAAGACATTCTGAGGCCAGCATTATACTCTTAACCATAACTGGATACTGACATAATAAAACATATAAATCAGTATCCCTGATGACCATACATGCAACAAAATAAAATTCAACAGCACGTCAAAATATCACACCACAATCAAGTCAGTTTCACTCTAGGAATGCAAGGATGATTCAAGATATGCAAATCAATGAACATAAAACAGTATGGGAAAAGAATGACCAAAGCATAGTATCATCTAAACAGATGCAGAAAATGCACTTGATAAAATTCAGTAACTATAAGTTCTGAATAAATTAGGTATAAAAGGATCATACTGCAACATAATACAGGGTACATATGACAAACCCACAACTAGGACACTAAATAGAAAAAAGCCACAAGCATTTCCACAGGAACAGGACGAGCACATCCAGTCATTACTCTTCTATAACATACTCCTAGGAGTTTTAGCCAAAGTAGTTCAGCAAGAGAAAGACGCAAAATGCATATAAATAAAAAGGTGGAAGTCAAATTTATGTTTTTTTTTGCAGATGATATGGTTCTATAGGATTCCCCCCTAAAAACCACTAGAACTACTAAACAAATTTAGTAAAGTAAAAGAACACAAAATCAACACACAAAAGTCAGTAGCTTTTCTATATGCCAATGATTAATTTCTCAAGTAAGAAAAAATGAAAACAACACCATTCACAATAGCTACAAAAATGTGCAAATAAATTTAACCAAGGAACTGGAAAGGATCTATGATAAAAAAATTACAAAGGATGACAAAAGATATCGAAGAGAACAAAAACTATAGAAAGACTTCTTATATTCATGAGCTGGAAAAATAAGTATTGTTAAACTGTCCACACAACCCAAAGCAATCTGCAGATGCAACGCGATTCTTAGCAAAAAACTAATAACATTCTTCACAGAACTAGAAAATACAATCCTAAAAAGGAAGAATAAAAGACCCCAAATAGCTAAAGCCATTTTGAGCACAAAGAACAAAGCTAGAGACATCATAGCTGATTTCAGGACATACTCCATAACCATAGTAACAAAATGAGCATGATGTATAACATACACAGACCAATGAAACACAACAGAGATCCCAGAAATCAACTCAGGTATTCACAGCCAATTAATTCTCAACAAAGGGGCAAAAACCAAAACAACACACACACACTGAAGAAAAGACAACTTCTTCAAGAAATGGAGCTGAGAAAACTGGATATCCACATGCAGAAGACTGAAACTAGGCCTCTATTATCTTTCACCTCATGCAAAAATCAATTCAAAACCAGGTCAAAGATGTAATGCAAACCCTGAAGATTTTAGGCTATTAGAAGAAAACAAAGGGCAAATACCTAAAGATGCTGGTACAGGCAATGATTTTCTGGATAGGACTGGAATAGTACAGGAAACAAAAACAAAATCTGACGGGATTGCATTTGAAAAGCCTAGCACAGCAAACGAAGTACACAGCGGAGTAAAGACACAAACAGAATGGGAGAAGATATTTACCAGTTCTGTTCATCTCATAGATGCTTAGTATCCAGAATATATATAAAATTTTAAAATGTAATAACAAACCAAGTAACCTGATTAAAAATGGATCATCTTAATAGCTACTTCTCAAAAGGAGAAATATAGATAGCCAACACATTTATGAAAAAAAATGCTCAATAACATTAGTCATCAGGGAAATGCAAATCAAAATCAAAATTACAATGGGATACCATCCCACCCCAGGCAAGATACCATAAAGAAGAAAAATACATAAAAAATACTGGCAAATATCAAGAAAAAGGAACTCTTATCCATTGTTGGTGGGAATATAAATTTAGTACAGTCATTCTAAAGTATGGCATTTATACAACTGAAAATAGATCTACCATATGAAACAGCTAATCCCACTTCTGGGTTCCATCCAAAGACAGTGAAAGCGGCATGCCAAAGAGAAACCTGCATGTCCATGTTTACCGTAACACTACTCACAATAGCTAAGATAAAGACAGGCTAGGTGCCCATTAACAGATTAATGGATAAAGAAAATGTCATTTATATACCAAATGTTGTATATTATTCAGCCATAAAGAAGCAAATCCTATCATTTGTAGCAAAATGAATGGGACTGGTGGACATTAAGTCAAAATAAGACAGATACAGGCTGGGGATGTAGCTCAGTCGTGCCCCGCCTGCCTGGCAAGCATAAGGTCCTGAGTTTGATCTCCAGTAATGACCCCCCCTCCAAAAAAAAATGTCAGATACAGGAAGACATACCACAGGCTGTTTCTCAGATTTTGGAAACTGAAATGGGTTGACCTGAAAATAAAAGCCTGTTTAATAAGGATTAGGAAGGGGACAGGGAAAGAGGTCGAAAAAGTGTGGTTGGATTTGGTCAGTGCATGCTGTAAGCAAGTATGGAAACATTGCTCTAAACCCCATTAAAATGTACTGTTAATATGAGTTACTAATAAAGTGAAGTTCCCAACTTCAGAAAGTAGAATCCTAAATAGCAAGGTACAGTGGAGTTTGCTATGTTTCCAGAAGTTGCTGTAACTAAGATATTTTAGTTATGCCACAGGAAGCAAATGGCACAACGCTATGTATTTAGCTTTTCCTTAAGGTGAGAAATTGATGGAGTATGACTCTCTGCCTCTGTTGTGGGAGATGAGGTGGCATTATGACTGTGTGTAGAGATGGACAAATGGGGAATGTGCAAATCTTTCTTGTCTTCCTGTAATCAAAACCTGGACACAGGATGGTCACAGCATGTACTGCTGCAAATCGAGCTGTTACCCTGTGTGCGGGTGGCACAACTGTCCCAGTGAACACATTCTGGCTCTGGGCCCTCTTTGGCTGTCTCTGTGCTCCTCTCTTCTTTCCTGTTTCTGGGAAAAACTCCACACTGTCTGTAGGGTTGCTTTAGTGTATAAGTGAGCACAAAGGAGTGAGATGGTGACATCAACCCTGTATCACTTCATTTAATCTTCAGTTACATTTTAAAGTCGGTTCTTGGCTTTATGTTCTTCCTAAACAATCACAGCATCCATACATCTTATTTCATTTTTAATCGATACATATTGGCACGTATGCCATCCACAGATTTTTAAAATCCAAGCCTGTCAAGATGGCATTTCAGAATGACATCTACTCACATATTAGATAGGGGGTAGTCCTGGGAGACGCCCGCTCCTCCACACACCTGAATGGCCCGGTCAATGATCCTGCAGACGGCCCGGGGCGCAACCACTTTGATCATTGCAATCTGTATAAGCAGGATATGAAAAGAGTGCTTCTTTCTTAGAACTATACACAGTGTGCCAGAATTTGATATCATCTATATTTTTTTTCTCTGCGAAGTGAAACCAGAAAACTTTCCCACACCCAAGTCACCACTGAACAGCCAACAAAGAGATCTACTGTAATTCAGTTAATGGCCATATTTCAGTCAATACAGACTTTTTAGAAAGGGATAGCTCAACTAGTTTTCCTTCCGAAAGGATTTCAGAATAGGTCACATTCATCACATTAAAGGTCATAAAAACAGTTTAAGTGCTTCTGAGCCACTAGTCGGTATTATCTTAGCAATTTTATGGGTTTTTAAAGAATTAAATGACTATGTCCTTAATCCATATAAGCCAGAACATAAGGCAGAGGACAACAGGAGCCTTTTATGAAACATTTACTATATGGCAGAATCATACTTTGCATTTAGGTTACTGTCCATGAGAACCCTGGGCTCAGGGTGGAAAGGTTAAATACTTTACCCATGATCCTAGGCCAGCAGAAAGTGGTAAAGTGGTTACTATTAATGCCAGCTCCGTGGAGAGCCTAGCATTTCCCCACTCTTTGCTGCATCTCAAGAGTGTTGGAGATATTCTGCATTCCAAAAATCATTTCCTAAAGTAGCACAGTGAAAGGAAAGCTAGCAAGTGATAGACACTTAAGCTTGTGTGTGTGTGTGTGTGTGTGTGTGTGTGTGTGTGTGTAGTACTCAGGATTGAATCTTAGTTTTAAGGCTCAATGAACGCTAGATAAGCCACTGAGTTTATCTACGTTCCAGCTCTTTTTTCTCTTTTAGTTACTTATGTCTTGTTCTTTTCAGGTTTTTATTACTACACGTTTACAGTACATAATGGCTACATTCATTGTGGGGAGTTGGCAGACATACCTTTTTATTCTTTGAGACAGGGTCTCAATTAGTTGCTCAGGCTGGCCTTGAACCTGTGATCTTCCCACCTCAGCTTACTGAGTAACTGTCATAAGCATGAGCCACCATACCAAGCTCATTTATAGTCTTTAAACCAAAAATCACATGGGGGCTTCTAATATTCTCAGTGCTTTCAAGGTGCTGTGAAACTCGAAATGCTCAAAGGATTGGAGAACCTGAATAAGGCTCTGCAACTGACAGACCAGGGCTTCCTCACCTCTTTCCTAGCACCAGCGCTCCCCAGAGTATCTATACTGTGGGCAGCTTTCAAGGTCAACAAGCGGATCTCCTCAATGGCGATGCGGCTCTCAGCAATCCAGTGGGCCACAACCTCCTGTGTAGGAAACAAAGGGAAGAAGGAGATAAGCTGGTGTCTGACATCCACATGTAACACAGTCTTGTAGATTGGTGAAAACACTTGATAGGCTAACAACTGTTCATAAGCCCTACTGTATAAATATTTGAATGAACAAGCTGATTTGTACAGTCTATTCTTGTGGAATATTACAGTTGGACTTGGAACATTTTAGAAAGAAATTGTATTTGTTCAGAAAGATAATTTATTTGGATATTTTACTGTCTAAGGTCAAGATTGCTGAACTGAGCAACTGTCCTACTGCCAAATTACTCATCAGCCCTCCTGAATGCTGAATCACATGCTCTCACTAAACCTGGTTGGATGGCAGTGGTGGCACTGCTTATAATAGTCAAACTGCATACTTGTAGGCACGATTTCAGAGTGAGGATGGTCCAGGAGCCCTTTATTGTGTTATTATTTATGTACAGTTATCTTTTTATCTGGTGGACAGTTCTATGACTGTAACACATGTAGATCAGTGTAGTCACAAATGAGATACAGAACATTTCTATCTTCCTCAAAAAGTCCCTAGTGTTAACCCATTTTGTCACACCCTCTGCTCCACCTAACTCTGGCAACTACTGACATGTTCTTCATCACTCTAGTTTTGCTTTTTCCAGAATGTCATATAAATGGAAGCATCTAAGCATCAGTTCTCTTGAGATTGGCATCATTCACTGAGCTTAAAGCCTCCGAGTTACACCCAAAGTATTCTATGTATCAAGAGTCCATTCTTTTTTTTTTTTTTTTTTTTTTTTTTGTACCAGGGATCAAACTTGGGACCTTGCACTTGCAGGCAGGTGACAGCAGCACTGAGCTAAATCCCTGGCCCAAGAGTCATTCTTTGCATTGCTATGTAGAGTTCCATTATAGGGATGCATCCCGGTTTGTTTAGCCATTCACTTGGGTTGTTTACAGCTTGGGATTATTAATAGAGCTTCTATAAACATTTGTATGTGGTTTTTTTGTATGGATATACATTTTCACTTTTTAAAGCAAATAACCGGTGTAGAATTATGTTGTTACTGGTAAATGTTTATAACATGTTATCATTTTTTCAGAGTAGCTGTACTGTTTGGCATCCAAACCAGCAGTCTATAAGAGTTCCCCAAATCACTGACATATTTTCAGTATTTTTAAAAATAGTACTTCAGTCATTATAACAGTACACAGAGATATCTCATTATGGTCTTGATTTGCGCTGCCCGAATGTTAATACTGTTGATCCTCTTTTGATGTGTTTATTCACTATCTATCTATCGATCTATCTATCTATCCATCCATCCATGTATTTATTTTTGGTGCCGCGTATCAAACTCAGGACCTTGTGCTTGTGAGGCAGGTGTGGTTCCATGGAGCTAAATCCCCGGCCCATTTGGTTGCTACTTCATATCCTCTGTGATAACTCATCTGTTCACGTTTAGAAGAAACTCACTTTAAATATGACAGAGACATGCTGAAAGTAAAACAGTAACAAAAAAGGAAAATATATGTTATGTGAACACCAATCAAATCAATTTGATACTAAAGTAGAATTTAGACCAAAGAAAAACAGATGTTCATTAAATTAATGATAAAAAGGTTAATCCATCAAGAAAACATAGCAATCCTAAATATGTATTCAACAAATGACACAACTGCTAAAAATGTAAGAGAAACCAATAGAACATCTACATGGAACTCAATGAACATCAAAACAGAACATACCGAAATCTGCAGGCTACAGTTAAAGTAGTTCTGAGAGGGAGATGTATAGCACTAAATCCATACATTAGATAAGAGGGAAAATATCTCAAAAATCTATGTGATCACCTCAAGAATGTAGAAAAAGAAGAGTAAAATACCCGTACAGCAAAAGAAAATAATGAAGAACAAACATAAAACTGACAATGAAATAGGGGAAACCAGTGAAAAAAAAAAGATCTTGATAACAGAACACTCTGACTCTAAACACATAAAACTGATGGCTTAGACAAAAGGGATCACTTTCCGGGAAAGCAAAAGCTACCATGACCCACCCAATATAAAATATTAAGGAAACATTTAAAACTTTCATCCTACTCTATCCCCCAAGTTTCCTAACCCAAACAGTATCATAGGAGAATTCTACCAAATGTTCAAAGAAAAATCAATATCAATGCTAGACAATCTCTTCCCAAAACAGAAAGAAATGGTACACTTCCCAAATCATTTTGTAAAGCCAGTACGACCCTGATGCTAGAACCATATAAAGGCAATAAGAAAAAAGAAATTACAGATCAGTATACCTTATTGATACAGATGGCAAAGTCCTTAACTATCAGCAAACCATATAATAGTGGAAACCAGAGGCTGGGGAGAGTAGGGAGAAGTAAGGGAGAGCTGGGGAATGGTAGGTTAACAGGTATAAGCTACCCGTTACCCTAAGGTTAGGCAGGAGACTAACCTGGAGACTAACTTAGGCACTAAGTTAGACAGAAAAAATAAATTCTGGTGTTCTATTTTGTAGTAGGCTAACTGCCCAAAAAATGTACTGTATATTTCCAAATAAAAGCTAGAAGAAAAGATTATTAAGGTTTTTACTACAAAGAAGTGTAAATGTTTGAGGAGATAGATATGATTACCTTGATTTGACCATTACACAAAGTATGCATTTATAAAAACATCACAGTGCCCCATAAATATTTATAAATTTTGTATGTCAAAAATGTTAACAAATAAAATTCAGAAATATATAAAAATAATTATGTGCCAATAACAAAGTGGAATTTTTCCAAGGAAACAAAGCTGGTTCGATATTTGAAAATCAATCAGTATACTTCACCAAATTAACACACTAGAGAAGAAAAATGACACAGTCATATAATTTAATGCACAAAATCATTCAAGTTTTTTTTCATTCATCAAGTTTTTAAATCTCATAATAAAATCTTAGAAAATTAGTTACAGAGGAACTGAAATTAATTACAGAGGAACTGAACTTCAAAAACCTATAGCTAACATTATGCTTAATGCTCCCTTAACTTTGTGAACAAGGTAAGCATATCAGCCTGCGCCACTCTTATTCAACAAAAGGCAAGTCAAGAAAATAAAAGGTACACATAACAGAAAAGAAGAAATAAAACTGTCCCTATTTGCAGATGTCATGACTGATTATGGAAAATCCTAAGTGATCTACTAAAACTCCTAGAAAGAATGAGTTCATCAAGGTCACAGGATACAAGATAAACACATACAAATCAACTGAATTTATAAACACTAGTAAAGAACAAATGGACACTGAAATTAAAAAGACAATTTAGAATTGCTTAAAAATACTTATGTGTAAATAAAGTCATGAGGTGCTTAACTATGAGGTACATTCTGAAAAATGTGTTATTTTGTAGATATGTGACCATCATAGAGGATATTTACACAAACTAAATCATCTGTGACACCACTGAGCAATATAATTATGGGGCCACTGTTGCATACGCAACCCATCACTGATTAAAACATAGTTGTGTGGTACATGACTGCATGATGATACAGATAGGGCATGTATGCTTAAGTTCTGCATATGACCAAAAAGGGATGTGCCACGTTTACAGAACAGGAAACTTGATACAGTAATGATATCGATTCTTCCTACAGAGATATATAGGTTTAACATAATTCCTATCAAAATCCTAGCAAGATTTTTTTCAGATATAAACAAGATTTATATAGAAAAGCAAAGGAACTAGAATGGCTAAACCACTTGAAAGGGAATAATAAAATGAGAGGAATCACTGGAGCTTATTTCAAGACTAGTTAGAAGACTACATGAGGAGTAAGCAAAACTGTTGGCAAAGAAGTTAGGACATAAAAGAGAACCAAATTTAATAGGGGAAACAATTCAATAGGAGAAAATATCCTTTTCAACAACAATTGGACATCCATAGGCAAAACCAAAGCCAAAAAACCTTGACCCAAGTCTCAGTTATTACACAAAAATTAATTTAAAATGCACCACAGTCAAATGTAAAATGTAAACCTTTTGGAAGAATTATAGAAGAAAATAATCAGGATATAAAGTAAAGCAGAGTTCTTAGACAACACTAAAAGCATGATCCAGAAAAGCAAAAAAAAGAAAAAGGACAAATTAGTGTTCATTTAGCATAGCGAACATTCTCTGAGGTTTCTTCTGTTTGCAGAATTTAGATGTGAGGAGGTGTTTGGAAAAATCTGGAAAACAAACCTCAGCATAAATCTCACAAATAAAAACTCATAGTTCAGCACGGAAGCCTAGGGGACATACTAAATGCTTCTAGTCAGCCAAATGGGCTTTTTGGCTCCCAATTTTAAACTGAAGTATTTAAAAATGTTTGTTAGGTAAATTAGGCTGGCAAAAATTACAGGGTTCTGGTTCAAGCCACATTAACCTTCCTCAGCTTTTTTTCACCCATTAAGTCTATTGGTACATTTAAAGCAAACAATACAGTTACATTTATCATTGGGATCTTGTACCTTTACATGATATATCTTGGTTCTTATGTTTTCCCCACACCCCTGCCCTCCCTTCACCCCTCCACCCTTCCCTATTTACAAAGACGTTGTTTCAATTTTTTCCTTTTTTCACATTTTTTCTTTTCCATTATTTCCTTTTCCCTCCCTTTCCCACTTCCCCTTTAGCGATTTTCTTCCTATTTCACACTATTGATTATACCATTTGAACCTTATTTACATTTTTAGTTTTTCACACCAGAGAAACTATTCGGTATTTACTCACGTGTCCTATTTATTTCACTTAAGAGAATAACTTCAATGTGCATCCATTTAGTTATAAATGTCTCTAGTTTCTCATTCTTTATGGCTGAGTAGTACTCCATTTTATAGAAAAGCCACATCTTCTTTATCCAGTCTCCAGCTGATGGGCATCTGGGTTGCTTCCAAGTTTTAGCTATTAGAAACTGTGCCACTATAAAGATGGGTGCACATATATCACTGTGGTATGATTCTTTTCATTCTTTTGGAAAGATACCCAGCAGAGGGATGCCTGGGTCAAATGGAACCTCTAATCCTAGTTCTTTGAGGTATCTCCATATTGATTTCCACAGTGGTCGCACCAGTCTGTACTCGCACCAACAATGAAGAAGGGTTCCTTTCTCCCCACAACCCCACCAGCATTTGTTATTGGTTGATTTCTTGATACCAGCCATTCTTTCTGGGGTGAGGTGAAATCTCAGAGTTGTTTTCATCTGTATCTCTCGAATGATCAGTGATGTTGAACATTTTTCATTTATTTCCCCAGCTATTTTTATGCTTGGTTTTATTTGCTCTGGGACATTTTCTTGGCAGAGGATGTTTGATTAGGGTTTCACTAGAACAGTGATGGTTCATTGTGACAGCCACTAACCACATGTGGCTACCAAGCATTTGAAATATGCCCAAAATGAAATGAACTGTGTTAGAAGTGTAAAATATATGCCAGATTTTAAAGAATCGGAACTAAAAAAGAATGTAAAATAATTTAATTAGTAGTATTTTTATATTGATTTCATAGTGAAATGATCACATCTTGGGTATTGGTGCCCTGGTTGACAAACTTAATTTGTGCTATGATTTTGGGGAAGAGGCTGTGCTTGTGTTTGTCGGGGGAGGATGGCCACAGTTGTGTCTGTCACCCAGTGTGGAGTTTGTGAGTGGAAGCAAACTTTTGTCAAGCACTTTTGTTTGCGACCCAAACTGTTTACAAAAAGAAGCAATCATGAACCAAGGTATTACTGTGTTGGGTTAAACAAAAATTTTAAAATAATTTTATCTGTATCCTTTTTACTTTTTAAAAACGTTGCTATACTAGGGCCGGGGATTTAGCTCAGTGGTTCTGCCACCTTCCTTGTAAGCTCAAGGTCCTGAGTTCGATCCCCGGTACCCACCCCAAAGTTGCTATACTAACAGCTGATTTAAAATTACATTTGGTGTTCAGTGTGTATTTTGCTGGCCAGCATTGCCTCAGAGGTGTAAAGTTGGCTCTAACTCAACAATTTCAAACAGACTGCTGGCAGCCAATGAATATTTTTTTGATGGATGCAAAATTGGGTGGTGATAACTTCATGAACAGACTCTAGGTGCACTTACTTACTTGTTAGCTACATGTTCTCAGCTGTGTCTCTACAGGTCCTAGATCTGCCAAAAAGCTTTAAGTGGAAACTGAGCACTCTAGGAAACTGCCAAATTTATTTATGAAGACTGAACTTTATGTTTTAAGTCTGCAGTAATTTAGTGTACAGCTCTGAGTCTCCAAGTTCAGGAAAATGGAATGTTGAAGTCACAAATTAGGAGCGGAAAGCTGGCCCAGATGCCTGTTTATGACACATCTCTTTTTGCTTCTGCCAGCTAATTTATGCCAGATGTGAAGTTCCCAGCGAAGAGAGGCATATTTTTAAAAAGCCCAGGCTTGTTCTGCATGATACATTAACTTTCAAAGGCTGGAGAGAAATCTCTCTCTGGTGCAGCAATGAAACTTTGCTCATGAACACAGCCTTATGTGTTCAGGCCGCCTGTGCCTCAGATTTTCTGTGTCCTCCCTTCCCTGGTCCAGGGCTTGCTTGGTGACAAGCTTGAAAAGACAGCAGGGAAGAAGCCATGGTCAGACCCATGAACAACTCTCTAGTCCCTAATCAGGAGCAGAAGTTGGGCCCCTTTGAGGGATAATTTGACTATCCCAGTTTCTTTAAAAAGTGGCATCTACACCCTCAAAAGCTTACACGTTCTTAGAGCCTCCACGCCCATAAAGAGCTGAACCCTTCCCCTTACCATATACAAACTATTTCCAGGTATAGTGTCATAAAGCCGGATATATTTTTTGTTGGAACAGTGTTATAAATTAATCAATTTTATACTAGATGAGCATAAGTACTTCACAAAATATTAGCATTAGTAACTATTGCTATTATTACTAAGACTAAGCATGTAATACTTCACAAGAAGCAAACACAACCTATAACAATTTAGTTTGTATACACTGCAAATGGTTTTGTTGTTGTTGTTTTTTAAAATCAGGGATTTCCCAAGTCACTAAGTTGAGCAGGCTGGGTTCAAACTTAGAATCCTTCTCTCTCAGTCTCCCAGAGAGGTGGGATTACAGGTACCTGGTTTGCAGAATTTTATAGGATTGCAAATGTATTTTACAAAAGGATCAATGTACTACAATATACTTGTCCAGTGAACACAAATACAATTCTGTCAACACAAGTTTGAATTAATACATGTTAGCAGTAATAAATGTTAAATATTTAATAATAGTTGTTTTTGCTTTCTTAAAAATTAGAAGCCGGGATGGGGATTTAGCTCAGTGGAACTCATGTCTGCTTTGCAAGTACAAGTCCTCAGTTTGATAGCTGGTACTGGGAAAAAAAAATTAGAAGCCCTTTGTAGGTGATGATTTGGCTATTCCACTTACTGTTAAGAAAGGCTTTTCAAGGAAGTCTGAAATAATACCTCCTTTACCCTGTTGATATGTATTTACTAATTTTGATTATATTGCCTACATACAGCTGTGTATAGTGTTTTGTAAATAACAGACTCTGTAGAATATAATTCATAAAAGAAAATTTAAAATGTTATGAACATCCCACCAAAGGTTGGTCCTATTTCTATTTGCATTCCTCAGTAACAGGAATCTCCTTTTTGAAGCATTCCGTTCCACTTTAAAATTTCTCTTATAGAACGTTCTTCCTTTCACAGAGCTTTGCGCTGTTTTCCTACACCTTCCACTTATCTGTCCTAAATCCTTCCAGAAAAACAAAGGAGAAGACAGGTAAGTTCCTCTTCCTAGGACAGGCTCTTCCTGTGTAGAAAGAGCTTTACGGTACCAGCTCTCCTAGAAAATGGGGGTCTAGGAAAAGGAAGCCACTGCCCACACTGCGTGCTCGATTATGGCAGCACTTTGGAGCTACTTAACCTTTCGCAAAGATGAACACTTCTCGTCAGACTATATTAAACGGAGACATAGTATGCTTATGGCAGCACTGGCGAACCTTTTAGAGATCAGGTGCCAGACTGTGACCCCAAACCTACTTATTTATCACAAAGTGCCAACACTGCAATTAAACCCAAATATTGAAGTTTTAGCTTAGAAGAAATAACTCTAGGTTAACATCTTTTGTCTTCAAAACAAAACAAAACAACAACACAATAACACAGGTGTCATTGGTTTGCCACCACTGCGCTATGGGAAAGAATCACCTTGTCATGGGGAAATCCCTTTTGCACTAACATTTTTGCAAGTCAGTATTGCATACAGGACTACAATGAGTTCCAATAAGTAATCACTCTTACGTGTTCATACAGCTTCTTCGTGAAGGCTTCTCTTTGTGCTGCCCGTTCACACATGATCTGCAAAGCACGTTCTGCCACACCAACTGTTCTCATACAGTGGTGGATTCTGCCAGGTCCCAGGCGGCCCTGGGAAATTTCAAATCCCCTACCTTCACCTGTGAGAAAGAAAGGACATGAAAACTGCCCATACCTTTGGTTATTTACACAAAACTTGGGAGGATGATGAACTGCTCTCAATAAAAATGGCCTTCTGGTGGGGAAAAAGCCAATTCTCTAAGGTTCAATACACATTTATGGGGATGTTGATTGCTATGTTTTTGTTGTAGTTTTTTTTTGTTTCTTTGGTACTGGGGATCAAATTCGGGACCTTGCACTTGCAAGGCAGGAGAACCACTGAGCTAAATCCCTGGGCCAATTGCTGTGTTTTTTTAAAAGCCACCCTTATTAAACATTTCAAATTTAGAACTGCCTTTGGAGTACTTACTCCAAAAAGTAGCATAAACTACTCTATTAGTGCTGTACTAGTAACTTGGTAGCTAAGACACACTCCCTACCTAGGAATTTAGAAGCCAGAAGTGACAAGGACAGGGGCTACACAACACAGGAAGGGAAGAAAGGCAAAGGAGGGCAACACTGTAAACCCTGCAGCTGCTGGGCTTGGCAGGCACCAGGCTTGTTGGATGGAGGAGGTAACAAACACAAAACCCTCCCAAAAGGGATAGGGTTTGAATATTTTTTGAAGGTTGGGTCAGAGTCCAATGAGTGAGAGGTTAGAGGCATTTCAAGCATACAGTGTTTGAAGTTATTCATTATTTTACTTTGTATATAAGACTTGAAGTTTTCTTAAAACCAGTCAAGGTCTACAGATCATGCCTTAGGAAAAATGTGTTGCTTTTCATTGGTTAGCTTTTTTATTTAGCTATATTTTTAATTGATGTGATATATAAAACCACATCTAACATAAAATATTGGCATTCCATGTAAGAAAATCCACAAAATGGAAAATATTTTCTTGATAAATGGAGGAAACAAGAATAAAAGTATCTAAATTAAAGCCGATTGCATATATTTTTCAGATTGAGTCCTAAAACTACTAATATACTGGAGGACAATTTTACCAAATTTATCTCACCTAGTATTAAATTGGCAGCAGGAACTCGCACTTGATTAAAATGGACCTCAAAATGTCCTCCATGAAAATAATCTATAAATAGAAAATAAAATGTTATAGAGACAAATGCATTGACCAAAAGGCCGTGTATAATTAATCTTCAGGAATACAATTACTCAAAGGAAGCAGGATCTAAAAGATCCATATATCATATTCCTAGGTAGATCTTAGCCCTGAACAGGTAGTACCCAGCAGTCCTGTAAACTTATCAACTGTTCAAGAGAGAAAAGATTTTCTAAATCATTGGATGCAGAGGTTTTCTAATTCATTCTGTGAAATTGTAGAGCTATGGAAAAAGAAGTCCGGGTTTCATGGCTCTAACAAGACTATCACTGCTTTTCCTTCAAAATTGTGTGGGATCCCAAAGGAATTTTGCATGGGGAACAAAGATTCAATATTTAAAAAATTGAAAGTGAGTCCTGTATTCAAGTTTCTTATTATATCATTGGGAAAATCAATGCCTGGAGATGCAGAGGGCCTGTAGGAAGGAGCAGAGCAGGCTCAGCACTGGTAGGAAGACGGTACAGTCATTCAGGTTTGATGCTCTGTTTGCCTTGTTCCACTCGTTGCTCTTGAAAAATGCTGGCATTTGAGTCAGTGAGGCTGGGAACACATCCGTACTCTTGTCTTTGCATCACTTGTCCTCCTCAGCAAATTCTAAAGATCAGCTCGTGCTAACTCTGCACCGTTTTCCTACAGGAATTAATGATCAGCCCTCCCCACACTGTTTCCTTTGGCCTTGGCTTCAAGGAATTAGAGAGACGCTGGTGACTTTTTCACATGGAAAATTCAAAAGTAGCTCTGCAGTGGCAGGTTTTTGCACCTGTCTTCTAAATTCATTTTGGGTGTCTTTCAGAATGTCGCTGTGTAGCCCAACAGCTTCCGATGTGTAACCCGCTCCAGTAAGCCTGCTTGTCCCACCTTGTTCCCTCATTTAACCTGTGGGCACAACCTAAAGATGCATTCACAGGTCAAGATGTCAAACATTTTATTCTGCGATTCAAACATATGCATCAGTCACATTCAATGAAAGAGGAAACCATGGAGAGAGAAAGAACATGCATTTAGTCAACTTTTTCATAACACATATCACTTGCTGACATGCTACACAACTTACCTCCTTACATGTTTCTAGTTATTATTTATTTCCTTCCAGCAACATGTAAGCTACAGAAAGGCAAGAAACTTAGTCTTTAGATTTTATTAATGTATTCAAGGACCCCAAACCATACTCAGTGCTCCATCCTCAGTGCTGAACAGATGACCTGAGGAGCCTGGACCCAGCAGACCGTGTGGCAGGTAACAAAAGTAACCTGGCTTCTTAAAAATTATACCTCTGATCAGAAGAAAAGAAATGCTGTGCACTCAAATAACGTAAAACTCAACTTACTGTTTAACAGTTCTTGTAGGTTAATTGAAAAGTTGAACATAGAGACAAACATTGAATTTCATCGTGGACTGCTTTGATTTAATTTATCTGTAGCTACTTTATTAATCCATTTTCATGAACATGAGAGCAGACTGGCAGTTCGAGTTGCTGTTCCTTGAGCACAACCCACTCTTTCCCAAACAGTAAACAAAACAGGGAAGGATGTGACACTACCACCCCTTCATCTGCTCTACGCTGACTCCATCTGCATGTCAAAAGAGTTGCCAGGGCCAAAGGGATTCCTAAGAATACAGCTCTTACTTTAAGATACTATCTTTTCCCTTCAGTGCTACTGCAGTTTCTACTCTTCTGCTTGCTAATGTTTGGGCATTCTTACTTTGTACTTACCCATGTAGCCAAAAACTGACAAAGGCCTTATTAATTCTACTCCAGGTGCATTCATTGGAACAAGAATCATGCTGTGTTGTTTGTGTCTAGTGAAAAGGAAAAATAGTGTCAGGCAAAGTCTGCTAAGAGGAAAAATGAAACAGATGTTATGAAGAGTTGAAGTTTTCTTCTTGTTAGCAGGCAGTCACATAGGCAGTGATAACTGCAATCAGAGCTGTATAAAAAACTATCTACCACAGTCTGGTGCAGGCTATGATCTGGAACAAAAATAGTGCTTTGAAAATAAGTGAAAGTTGTTTGGGATCTCTCACTGCTCAACAATGCTAACTGGGAAAGGATATATATAACAACATTTCAAGGCTATTGCTTTTGATTTAAACATCTAATCACTTTGATATCACAGACAATTCTGAAAAATGTTATGTTTAATCATCCAACCCAAACAGCTTGATGATTCAGTAACATTTCCTAAGGCCAGAAATTCTGCAGGGAATAGTGCATGGCAGCATTCTGTAAAATGGTTTCCAGATCTCTCTTTTAGCAAAATATTTGTGACCTGCAAATATTTAATTACAAAATATATTTTGTATTATTATGATTTGTGAGCTCACATGTTGTGTATAAACTGAATGGGTTGAAAGAAAGATTGAATCATGTTATGGTTTATGTCTAGATGTCCCAAAAGCCTCATGCAGTCATAGGTGGGGCTTTTTCAGAAGTGGCAGGATCTAGAGTGTGTGATGTTAGAATTGATTCATGATGCAATGCTAGGCTCACAGGCACTAGGATTAAGGGTGTGAGAGTTATCAACCCTAAATAGCCTGAAGAAGATATGAGGCATAGAAAGAGCCATGGTTGTCCCTTGCTTGCTGTGGACTATTTCTCTTCTATTAATGCCTCTCTGTTATACATACTTTCTTGCCTTGGAGCCAGCCAAGTATGAGTTGAAACCTCTACAAACAGTGAGCTAAATAAACCTTTCCTCTTTTAACTTTGGGTGTCAGGCATCTTGTCTTAGCAGCAAGAAAGATAACTAAGATAAATCATTTCTACACAGATTTCTCAATCAGAATTGTTTTATTACCTGGACACAGAAGTACTTTTAGTTCTTCCCAAAACAACTGCAACTGTGCACTTGGCATTCCCAGCTCCTAAAGACAGGAGGGAAATGAGCATTACAAAAGGAAATTTCTCATTTGACATTTTACCCCGAAGGTTGTAATCTTCCAAGTTTTCTCTGGCAAAAAAAAAAAAAAAAAAAAAAAAAAAAAAAAAGGAAGAAAAATCTTTGATTCATTAAACTAAAATAGTGCTTTTTTTATACAACTGCGTCATGTAAGAAAAATGACCAGGGAAGGACAAGATTGAAGTTCATTAATGAAAGCTGCTGCACACAAATAACAAGTAGTCAAAGAAATGTAAAACAGCTGTGACCCTTAAAACAAAAAGATGGCTGTGTGTTCCCACCATTCAGACATCAGCATGCTAGAACAGTTGGGAAATATATGTCTAATACAACTATTTGCCACATATGAGATCAATTTTATATATCCAATAAAATATCTTATATGCCAACATATATGAAGACAGAAAGACTGGTTTCTCATTTATTAATTTAGTAAGCATCAGAAATTTGACAATATAGCTATTCTCATTTTAATGCAAACTTTATTTATCACATTTCGGGAGTCTGTGAGGATTTCTCATTAGGGCCTTTGTGCAAAAAAAGTAGATTTCAAGTTTGCCATAAGTTTGAATGCCTGGTCCCTCCAGGAAACTACCATTTAGTTGGTTTTCCAATTGCAAAGCCCAAACAACTGTATAGGGCTTACTTCAACATTCACCAAATTTTATGACTATCCCATATATATTTTTAAAAGAATCTTTATTAAGAGGCATACTGAAATGATACAATGTCTGGATTCATTTAGAAATAAGAGCACTGTAGCTTTCATAGAATTTTCAGTCTAACTGAAGAGGTACTACATACAGTGTGATAGAAAAATACAGTATTTAAATTTTTTAAAATTTCATACAGCAAAAGGCACATTGCCATTAATTCCCTTCAGAATACTCTTCCTCACTTTGAACAAGCTTAGACCACTGTTCTTGCCACTTTCTGAAGCAGCTCTGGAGGTCCTCCTTTGTATCTTCAGTTGTGTTGTCATGGCCTCAATGACCTTAATGAATTCAAAACACTTACTTTTCATGGTCATCTTGACTTTGGGGAAGAGCCAGAAGTCACATGGTACCAGATCCAGAGAATAAGAGGGATGAGGACGCGCCATAATATTTTATGAGCTTCCTTTCTGTTGGATGACATTCAGCAACAGTGCTTACTGAATTTTTGCCCATACCCCATGAAGACACTCACTAAAGAGGACTTCTAGAACTGCTTTAAAAAAGTGACATGAAAGAGGGTAAAAGAGTGTTCAAAGTGAGGGTCTTTTGAAGGGAATTAATGACAGTGTGTCTTTCACTGTAATTTAAAAAAAATTTAAACACTATATTTTTGACCATCTCTTATAAATGGAAAAAACTATTCCATGGAAACAATCTAGAATATCCTAAATGGTAATTTTGAACTCTGGTCCAAAGTGTCCTTTCTCTATTGCTCAGAATACATTAATTTTTTCTCTAATATTTCCAAATATCCTTCTTGTCTTGTTCTATCATGGAAAAACTGTTACTACATAATTAAATACATGCCCAATAAATTTTAGATAGCAGGTAAATTTTGAAGAAACTCACACAAAATAGCAAATTATCCTTTAATTCTGCCTTGCTTAATCTAACAAGGAGAACAATTCAGATTCTAAAAACTGAAACATCTAACTAACTTGGCTCTTTTTCTGATCATTACATAAGGGAATTAAGGGTGAATGGATAGCTTAAAAATTCAAAATATTTTTGTTTAACCTTGGAATTTCAGGAAAATGAGAGAAAAAAACCCTTACAAATATACCATCTCCTTTTAGTTAAAAGCAGAATTTGGCAAGTACAACAGCTGAAATACCCTTCTATTACACAGAAGTTTTGCTCTTGTACATCATTTTAGTTCATGAACAGGATATAAAATTTCAGAAATAAAATATATTTGAGGAAATATGTGTAGTCCAGAAAACATTTCAACATAGCTGCTGTTATAGGCCCTCATGAATGAAAACAGATGACACAGATAAAATGGATTTGTTTTTAATTCAGACTCTGGAATTTCAAGGCTGTCCATGTGCCAGGATTAAGTCAGGCTAGAAATTATATCTTCCTGATATTATTTGCCAATGAATTTTAACTTTGGAGGCTCTGAAAACCATGTGGCTATCACAGTCTTTTTCTAACAAAAGCAAAGCAGACAACTGGAAAAAGATAACTGCATATGAGCTAAAGCAACTAAGGTGATGTAAATAAATTACATTAATATGAAGTGCTGTTTGCCTCCAAAAAAGTCTCAGGCTGTTTCTTCTGTCAACTTTGAATTTCTGAGGTAAAATACTTAAATTTCTTTTGGCTATAACTTGATTTTTTTTTTTTTTTTTTTTTTTTTTTTTTGTACTGGGGCTCAAACTTGGGACACTGAGCTTACTAGGCAGGCGACGGAACCACTGAACTAAATCCCCAGCCCAAAGAGCTTTTTGAAGTATTTCATTTTACCACTAATGTAATAAATGTAGAATACAAATTTACCTATTAACTGGCAAGGAGAATATTTATAGCAATTTGTTGCCCATAATTTCACACATGGTTTGCAAGGTATGGCAAAGTGTACTGCACATGTTACAAGGCATTTAGAAGGCAACATGTTAGCAAAATACATTCTACTGGCAAGGTTTGAGGGAAATAGGCCTTCCATGTATAACTGGTGGGAGAGTAATACCATTCCTATGGAGTACAGTTTGGCCATATCATCAAAACTACAAATATGGAGCCAGGCGTGGTGGCACACACCTGTAATCCCAGGAGGGATTGGGAGGCTGAAGCAGGAGGATCGCTGTGAGTTCGAGACCAGCCTCGGCTACATAGTGAGTTCCAGGTCAGTCTCAACTACAAAGTGAGACCCTGTCTCACAAATTCAAAAAAAAAAAAACAAAACAAAAAAACCCTACAAATACATGCAGTGTTTGACCCATCAATCCAACTTTTAGGATTTATCCTAGGAATATGGCTGTTTCAGGGCTGAGAGGTGGCTGAGTGGTAGAGCACTTGCCTCACATATACGAGGCTCTAAGCCGGGGATTTAGCTCAGTGGTTCCGCTGCCCATCTTGCAAGCCCAAGGTCCTGAGTTCAATCCCTGGTACAGAAAAACAAAAAACAAAAAGCACAACCTACATGAGGCTCTAGGTTCAAACACTTCAAGAGACAGAAAAACAAAATAAAACAAAACCAACCAACTGGGAGTCAGTATGAAATATGGCTATCTTTGTATGAAATGACAGATGCACACGATTATTAATTGCAGTAGTATTGTTTGCATTCACAAAGAGCTGGACACAAACCAATGTCCACTAGTAGAAGACTACTGAAATATACTGTGCTATGCTCAAATGACGAAAGTCTTCCAAAAAGAACAAGGAAACTTTCCATGAAATGATAATGAAAGAACTCCAGGGTTATATTCAGTGTGAACAGTTCGAACACCACTTTTGGTGTAATGAGAAAAGGAGAATCATATGTACTTAGTCACATTCTTCAAAATGATTTGGTAAGCTTAAGTTCACTTTGACAATATATACAAAAATACTCTCTATTTTTTATAATAACAAAACATTAGAGATAATAGTTTTATAATAAAATAATAAGAGTTCAATAAAATAAAAATATATAAATATAAAATAATATAATTAATATTTGACATGCAAATGATATATTATTTAACAAATAATAAAAATAAAATTATTTGAACTAATATAAAATAAATGGTAATAATAACACTGAAATAAAATATTAAAATAAAAGTTTTATAATAAAATAAGTGTTTTAATAATAATGGTGTTTTATAATAAAACACTAGAAATAACACCAGAAATAATCTAAAAGTTCAGTTACAAGAGAATGGTAAAACAAATTATGATAAATCATGCAATAAAATATTGTTTAGCTACGTAAAATGCCATTTATAGTGAGTTTATAATAATACACACTTTCCTTAAGTAACAATGTGATGCGACTGATACAATGTGAATTCAATACATAAAACAGATGCTAAAGGAGAAATTATAAAGTTACATAAGCTGAGTTCAATATATATCTTAAGTGATATTCTCTGTGATATTTTATAATACAGTATGTAGCCTCAAACAAAAGATGAAAATTGGATGTGAGGAGAAAGATTCTTTAGGAACTAGGGACATTGTTATGGTAAAACAGGAACTCATTTTGATACTACATTTATAGAAAACCAGAAAATGACTCAGTTCTCAGGGTTACGAGAAAACATGGAGGAGAGGTACAGAAAAAAATACTGAAGAAACATCAAGTGAGCACTGTAAAAAGTTGCCTAAGTTAAATGATGTTTCTATCTATCTCAAGCTACATGATCTTCAAGTTTTGCACATTTCCCCTTTTACCAACAACTGTCTTCGTTCTCTGTGAAGAGGAACAGAAAAAATATGGCTAGTGATCTAGTTTTACTATGAGTTATACGTAGGTGGAACTCACTCTATGAAATGATAAGCAGCAGCTCAGTTCAGTCCTGATAACCTATATGTCCTAAGGGCTGGGTTGTGTTTGTGTGAATGACTTGCAAATTCAAAAGATGTAAAGATTATAGCACTGTTTTTCTGAGTTCTTTATATATTCTAGATAATAGTCCTTTGTCTGAGGACCAGCTGGTAAAATTTCTTTCCCACATTGTAGGTTGTCTCTTAGTTCTGTTGATGGTTTCTTTCTCAGTGCAGAATCTTCTTAATAAGATGAGATCCCAGTTGTTGATTCTTTCTGCTAGTTCCCATGCTACTGAGGATTTGTTCATTCCTATGCCAGTGTCTTCAAGAGTTCTGCCTAACTTATCGTCCAGGAAATTGAGTGACTCTTTTGTAATATTTAGATCTTTAAACCACTTGGATTTTAGTTTAGTGCATGATGAAAGATAAGGGTCTAGTTTTAATCTTTGGGAGGTTGAAATCCAGCTTTTCCAACACCATTTATTAAAGAGGCTATCTTTCTTCCAGTGATGATGGTTGGCTCCTTTGTCAAAGGTGAGGTAACTGAGTACATCTGGAATTGTTCTAGTATCTTCCAGTCTATTCCACTGATCTTCAGGTCTACCCCCCCAAATATAAAGACTCAATTCAAAACTGGGCATCTAAAATGAACAGACATTTCTCAAAGAAGTAAAAGCAGCAAGTAAATATATGAAAAAATGTTCCACATCACTGGTCATTTGAGAGATGCAGATTAAAACAACACTGAGATTCCACCTCACCCCACAAAGAATGGCTGCTATCAAGAAATCAACCAATAACAAATGTTGTTGGTGGGAGTGCAGACTGGTGCAACCACTGTGGAAATCAATATGGAGATACCTCAAAAAATTACGACTAGAGGTTCCATTTGACCCAGGCATCCCTCTGCTGGGTATCTTTCCAAAAGAATTAAAAGAATCATATCACAGAGATATATGTGTACCTATGTTTATAGCGGCCCAGTTTGTAATAGCTAAAACTTGGAAACAGCCCATCTGCCCATCTGTTGGAAACTGGATAAAGATGTGGTTTTTCTATAAAGTGGGATACTACTCATAAAGAATGAGAAATTAGAGGCATTCATGGGAAAATGGATACATGTTGAGGATCTACTCCTAAGTGAAATAAATAAGTCAAACATGGATAAATATCTAATGGTTTCTCTGGTGTGAAAAACTATGTTACATAAGATTGTAATGATATAAATGATAAAGTGAAATAGGAAGAAAAGGGCTAAAGGTGTAGGGGAAATGGGAAGGGTAGGGGAAAGGTAATAAGGAAAAAGGAAAAAAAATGAGAAAATGAAAAAATGGAAATAAAGTATTTGTAAATAGGGAAGGGAGGAGGGGTGAAGGGAGGGCAGGGGTATGGGTAAAAAACGAGAACCAAGACCTGTCATGTAAAGGTACAAGATCCAAATAATGAATGTAACTATACTGTTTACCTAAAATGTACCAATAAACTCAATGAGGAAAAAAAAAAAGATTATAGCACTGTAACTGATTTACAAGATAGTCCAATTTACAAGAAAGCAAGTGGTTGTTTGGGATGGGGTAAACAAGGGAAAGGAAAGATACTTTAAAATATAGTTTCAAGATTCTATAATAGAAGGGATCATGGAATACTAACAATGTGGAAGGGATAGCATGATAAAATGGAAAATCTAAAACTAAAGATGTGACATCAAAATTTCAGTTCCGGTTTCAGTGCTAACCTTGTGTATCTGTGGAGGATAAGTTAGTTAAACACTGATTGATTTGTTGATTCATGTACATACTTATGATTCAGTAAGCTGGCACTATGAGTTGAGATTCAAAGGCAAACCAAGACCTGTCCTGTAAAGGTACAAGATCCCAATAATGAATGTAACTGTACTGTATACCTAAAATGTACCAGTAAACTCAATAAAAAGAAAAAAAAAGATTCAAAGATAAATACTGAGAACGCAGCAGGGCACAATATAGTCATGGAAGAAAAACAATTATAAGCACCAACATTAGAGAGAGATGGTACTATAAGAGTGAAGGCACAGATGGTATTGTCTTCAATCTAATTTGAAAGGATTAGGGAAGGCTTCCTGGATTAATTGGCATTAAGGTCAGACCTGAATCTTTTCCTAAATAAGAGTTAGGCATCTAAAGTGGAGTGGCAAGAGTATTGGAGGCAGGAATATTAATATGTGCAGTTCAGTACTATATTCTGTATAGCTATATTGAAGGGCTTATATAATTGATAATTATATAGCTATACAGAATATAGTACAAGTGAAATAAATAAGTCACACATGTGTAAATACTGAATAGTTTTTCTGGTGTGAATAAACTGTAATAATACATAAGATCCTAATAAGATTACTGACATTGTGAAATGGGAAGAAAGGGGCTAAAGGTGTAGGGAAGGTGGGATGGGTAGGGGAAAGGTAATAAGGGAAAAGAAAAAATGTGAGATAATGAAAAGATGGAAATAAAGTGTTTGTAGATGGGGAGGGGAGGAGGGAGTGAAGGGAGGGTAGGGGTAAGGGGAAAAAATGAGAACCAAGACCTGTCATGTAGAGGTACAAGATCCCAACAAGGAATGTAACTGTACTATATCCCTAAAATGTACCAATAAACTCAATTAAAGCTGAAAAATAAATAGAAAAAAAAAAAAAAGAACAGGTGGGTGATGGGTGTTTTAAACAGAGTAATTAGGGACTTGCCTCAGTGAGCAGGTGGTGCATGGGCAAAGACTTGCAAGACAAAGATGCGCGAAGCTTATAAATATCAAGAGCAAGCACATTCCAGGCAGAAAGACGAGCCTGCACAAAAAGCCTGATTAGGATCATGCCTGGTATGCTTCTGAAACAGCAAGGACATTAATGTAACAGTGAGCAATGTGAGATAAGGTCAGAGGCAGGGAGAGAGGGGAAAGGCAGACCTTGTAGGACTTTGTGGGTTGCTATAAGAATTTAATGGGTTATTTCCTCTAGCCAAATATACAGATGACCAAGAAAAATAAGAGGTCAGAGAAGGGGAAAGATAGTCCAGCCAAGGCAGGGATAAAAATAAGACAAGTGGTTGGATGAATAATCAGTCAGGCTGTTTTTGGAGAAACTGTGCTAGACCCTGCTCAGCAGAGCTAATTATGTTGATCTTTTAGCAAATTTGCATGTGGTGACTTGACTTTGATAGCTTGAAATTGGCCATGGTGGGACTATTTACATCATGAACAATGGCAAATGTTACAAATCTAGGCGCTGAGCTGGTGTGATTGCATGCTGATGATGCTTCTGTCTAGAGTGGAGGATGAGGAGGAGAAACTGCCTCAGACATATACCAAACTGCAGGAAGGTAAAGAAGATAAAGACGAGCTATAACGAACTTCTTTTGTGTGAGCTGGAGAAAAAAATGGCATGGGTCTGAAATAACTTCTGCAGGTGGAGACTGAGGCTGGCCTCGCATGAGAAAATAAATAAGGCAACAGCCATGCAAATGTGAAGAGGCAAATTCAAGTAGACCCCCAAGCCCAAATCTGCATAAATTTTTCTTTCTTTTTCATTTGTTTGGCAGCCTGGGGAATGACACAGCCTCCTAGACAGAAGCCTTTTGAAGGTTTGTATTCTGGTCTTAGAAGAAAAAGATTTCAGTAATGCAAGAGAGTTTAAAGCCATGGAGAAAGGCACAGGACAGAGATCATAGATGAAAGAGTACAGGGATACCAGGAGCCTGACAGTGTAAGTAAAATATTAAATGGCATGGCATAAAATGATTACTGTAAGTGGTTAATGATTACTCATAATTTAGCCTTTGATAATTTACTCTTTAAAAAGCGAATTTTCTCGGTTAAAATCACTTTTGCTTTATTTCCTAGACAAAACAACTTGAGAGAGTATTTTTCTAAAAGCTGCCAGTAAGTGCGTGGCTGCCTGGATGCTCCTGGGAGAATCTGGTTTTGCCTTGGCAATCAGTTAGCTGCTCAGCTGCAAGCCCTTTCTTATTCTCTTCAGCCAAGTGGAAACCCTGAAAGAACTGTGGTTTTGGAAACAAGCTGGAATTCTTTCAAATGTGTACCCTAGGATACTTAAGAACTTAGATTTAACTTCATAGGGTGGTTTTCCATAAAAAGCTCATGTGCTCACAAGGTTAAATTTCAGGAAAGTCCTCTGATCCAACATAAAGGCGGAGTGTAAAACGAAAACAAAAGTAGCCCGAGTTAGAAGAGTCATTTGATTTTTCCTCTCTGCACTCAAGACTGCTCCTCTCTGCCCACAGAAAACAGGTTAGTTCATTCTTTTCTCCTTCTGACTTGGATATTATATTGTTAAAGCTCAAAGATTTTGTATTTTTACCTATACAGTGGGAGATTTGATGCATAAAAGTTTAAAATTTTTATGTACAAAAAGAGCTATTTAAAAACAGCTGTATATTTCAACCTTAAAATTCTGACTATAGCAAGAAAATATTATTTTTAATACCATTATGTGTTTGTAAAACTTTATTAATGAGAAAACAGGTTTTGCTATGTGACTTTTCTGCTTTTTTTAATAAACACTATTTTTTTGTTTTTATAATCATTATAAAAACACTTCAATGTCTTTCCATATATCTGCCAGAAGAATCTTTTCTGCAAACAATTTCCATTCCTACATTTTAGTATGATTAATTGTTACTTCAAAATACTCTTCCTTAATATCTTACATTATTTGGTCATATTATTCTTTATCATCAGGTTCAAGATTTGTTATGAATCAAAAAAAGAGCGCAGTTCATATTGTGTTAATAACGCATAAAAATGGTCATAGTAGTCTTCTGGGTTGGAATTTTTCAAATAATTTAAAGATAGACCAGTCATTTTAAATTGTTGGTACTTGATTTTGCATAATGAAAACAATTTTTGTAGTACTTTTCTTTAAGAGAAAACCTTAATTTTGCTTTACTCACTGAAAAAAGGGTAGCCTATGATGAATGTAGTCATTATGGATTACAAACATGTACCAATAAAATTTTTTTAAAAATTAAGAGTTAAAAAAAAAGCTAGCAAATTTAAGGCTTTTCTTTTGAAAATAAACCATATAAATTAGCACATTTTAAAATATTATTTTCGTGACTGACCCCATAGGGTTACTTGAGATTCTTCAAAGAACAAAATAAACCCAAGGAGATAGAAAGGCTAAAGAAAAAAGCAAAACTGAGCAATATAATAAAAATGTTGACAGTCATAATAAATATCGTAAGTCCTGGGACTTCTGTACAAGCTTATCATAAAACTATGGGGTGCTATCGGCAAATATAGTACAGTAATTTAATGTTGAGACAGGAGATTCCTGATATATGAGCTATCCTAGAGTAACAGCTTCATACCCCATTGGCAAAACCTTCAGTTTGACACATACTTACTAACCAGCTAGTGTGTGCCAGGAATGCTAATATGCTTTAATTATAATCACAAACCAAACAGGTTTGGTGAATTTAGAACCTAGAGGAACAAGGCAATTGGGGTAGCACATATTTTTCATAGAACACGGACAATTCTCTGGAAGGTATGTATGGGGTCAGGAAAGCCTTTAGGGGAAATGACATCAAGTTAGTTGAGCAGCAATGCTCTCTTCAAGGGAGAGGTAAGAAAGAGGGACGAAAGAGCAGAATGACCAAGATGTAGACATGTGCAATAGCACAGTGTGTGTCTGGCAAATCAGCATCTTACACTGTCTACAGTGCGGGGCACAAAGTGGGGAGAGGTGGCAGTAGCTGTGGGTGACACCATGTAACAGAGGGAGAGTTGGGTATCAAGGCTAAGAACTTGGATTGTGTCTTCCAGGGGAAGCAATATGTCTTCCAGGTAGGGAGATAACCAGGGAATTGGCAGATTGGCAATTTAGAAATAGAACATTGATAGCAGTAAGAAAAATGCTATCAAAAGGAGGTGGTGAGCAGAAATAACAAGATTCCAGCCAGGATGAAACTGCATTAAGCCAGGAAGAAGCATGAGAGTTAAACTGTTCAGATGAACCCAAGATTGTAGACTGGAAGAGGGAGACAGAACTAATACCTGCTTGGCGGGTAAAGAACGTATGCACTGACTTAGGGAAATGAGGGGTGAAGGTAAGAGAGAAATCAAGGATGGTCAGGCTCACAGCTCAGAGGTCCAGGGGGTTGATGGTGCTGCCAATAATAGTATATCAAAAGCAAGTAGTGTCAAGTTTTGGAGGGAGGTTGATTAAAGGAGGTCTTGTTTCTTAAAAGCGAACTAGTGAAATTTGGTACAAATAATTTAATTTATTTAAGTTAAATTTATAAATTAACATGAAATGAATAAGCATTTTTAAAAGAAAATTATTAATTTATTTTGATTTTAAAATGTACTTTATTGCAGATATACACTGTAAGATTTGCTAAGGTATAGATGTTAAAATTAGGACATTTTTTTATTCCCTTTGAAATCCGACTAAATTTTCATATCTTAAAAACTATATTTACATAAATAGCAATGTAAACTATATTTACGTAAAAGTCTTCAATTTGATTTAGGATTTAATTACGAAGAGAGTTGCCAAAGATATTATTTATCCTCCCAGCTCTGCCCACAGACTTGTAAAAATAAAGGACAGGTAACAAATCTTAGCGATACACTCCAACGTGGCTCCTGTTAAAGCTTTTCAAAGGGTGGCACATTCAGACTCACATATTCCTCAGCAGTATGTTCTCTAGAGAAAGAAGAGAACACATACTAGACAAAAGCTGCTTCCCTTTCATATTAAAATTAGTATCTTGCATTCTTTTTGCCATCTAGATTGAGCCATGGCTTTGGAGCAGAACCAACCAGTAGATTACTACTATGAGGAAAATGAAATGAACAGCACTCATGACTACAGTCAGTATGAAGTGATCTGCATAAAAGAAGAGGTCAGAAACTTTGCAAAAGTTTTCCTCCCTGCCTTCTTTGCAGTAGCTTTCATCATTGGACTTGCAGGCAACTCCGTAGTTGTGGCAATTTATGCCTATTACAAGAAACAGAGAACCAAGTCAGATGTGTACATCCTGAATTTGGGTGTGGCTGATTTACTCCTTCTGTTCACTTTGCCTTTCTGGGCAGTTAATGCTGCTCACGGGTGGGTCTTAGGGGAAATGATGTGCAAAATAACTTCAGCGTTATACACAATAAACTTTGTCTCAGGAATGCAGTTTCTGGCTTGTATTAGCATAGACAGATATTGGGCAGTAACTAAAGTCCCCAGCCAGTCAGGAGTAGGAAAACCTTGCTGGATCATTTGTTTCTGTGTTTGGATGGCTGCCATCTTGCTGAGTATACCCCAGCTGGTTTTTTACACAGTAAATGACAACAGCAGGTGCATTCCCATCTTTCCCCACCACCTAGGAACATCAATGAAAGCATCCATTCAAATGCTGGAAATCTGCATCGGATTTGTGGTTCCTTTTCTTTTTATGGGGGTGTGCTACTTTATTACAGCAAGGACACTCCTGAAGATGCCCAATATTAAAAAATCTCGACCCCTCAAAGTTCTGCTCACAGTGGTTATAGTTTTCATCGTCACCCAGCTACCTTATAACATTGTCAAGTTCTGCCGGGCCATAGACATCATCTACTCCCTGATCACTGACTGCGACATGAGCAAACGCATGGATGTTGCCATCCAAATCACAGAGAGCATCGCACTCTTTCACAGCTGCCTCAACCCAGTCCTGTATGTGTTCATGGGAGCCTCTTTTAAAAACTATATTATGAAAGTGGCCAAGAAATATGGATCCTGGAGAAGACATAGACAAAATGTGGAGGAGATACCTTTTGATTCAGAGGGTCCGACAGAGCCAACAAGTTCTTTTACCATTTAAATGTAAAACTGCTCTGTCTTTTGCTTGGATGATGCTTCTTCTTCAGGTAAAACATCTGCATTAATCTGAAACTCAGATATCAAGCACTATTTTTTTGTAATTTATCACAAAGAAGCTGCGAGGAGAGTGAGGACAGAAGTCAAGAAGAGGGAACAATAAATGTATAAAACAAAAAAATTGAAACAACAATATAGGAAAGTATTAGGAACAGGCATAAATAAAAGTACTACGCTATCAAGAGGAAGATCTCTGTGGGTGAAGGAATAGTTCGTATCTTGATTACAGCAGTGGTTATACAAATTGACACATGTGGTATAATGTTACAGAATTCTCCAAATAATTTCAATTCCTGGTTTTGATACGCGGCCTTAATTATGTCAGATAAACCATCAGGCTCATCAATGGATGAAAGATACCTGGGATCATTCTGTACTATCTTGATAACTTCCTGTGAATTTATAATAATTTCACAACAAAGTAATTTTTTTAAAAATGCTGTAGGTTAGGCAATCTAAAACCTATTCATAAATGTGCTTATATTATTATAATATTAAGAGGCATTTATAATCATTTTAATGTTCTAAATTGTAATATAATGTAATAAACATTTTCTGCATAATTTTAGTACTTGAATCATCATACAGCAAAAGTTAATCTTTTTTTCTGTTTCTTAATGTGTAAGTAATTTTATAAAATTACAGAAAGAATAACACCAACCAACCAAAAAACAAAATATCATAAACTTTTCTAGTCCTTTCATACATTCCTGGTAAATTCCTTATGATGTCAAATTTCTCTTGTAATAACTGGTTGTTAATAAATATGAGGTTTCCAATATATATTCTAGGAGCATTTATCAGATAATCATAATTATGAGTTCCAGTTTTTTTAACTTCCCAAAGTTATAAAATATGTGAGTCTATTGGTAAAAGTTGGCCGATAAATATTATACATGCATAAAGTTTCTTATTTTTCATTTAAACATTTTTAACCAATGAAAATGTGTACCACAAATTATTATTGTTGTTATTATTATTATTATTACTATTATTATTATTATTCTAAGTGCCAAGGCCTTGTGCATGCTAAGCTGAGCATATAAAGTTTCTTATTTTTCATTTAAACATTTTTAACCAATGAAAATATATACCACAAATTATTATTGTTGTTGTTATTATTATTACTATTATTATTATTATTCTAAGTGCCAAGGCCTTGTGCATGCTAAGCTGAGCTACTCTTCCCATCCCACAGTCATATAGTTTTAATAATGTGTTGAGCTTATCTTTTAAAAATTATTTTTCCTCTATTTCTAAACCTGAACATGCTGTCAAAGGCAGAATTTAAAGAATTATGATCATGAAACTAGTAATTATGAATCGCAGCACTATTCTGCTGAGGGTCAACCCGGTGAATAATAAATTATGCAGAACACTTACCACTGCTCCACCATTTCTTGCCATTAATTACGTAACTATCTCCATCTCGTTCAATACTACATTCAATATTTGTGGCATCACTGGAAGACACATCAGGCTCTGTAAATGAAGAAATGTTGAATTTATAGGCAGACAGACATCATTATTTTGCAAAAGAGGCTTAGATTCAGGACTGTAGACTGAGGACAGAGGCATCTTTATCTTCTCTGGTCCTCCCCTAACCTACACATTGTACATATTTAATAAACATTCAATGGGAGAATGAATGAATGAAATCTGTGGACTGTTGGGGATCGGTACTCTGAATTCTAAACTCCCACCTTCATGTCTAACTCAGGACACAAGTCACTTAGTCATTTCTCTAAATATCAAATGTAGATCAAAAATATTGTCTTTTACTCCCCACAATGGAAATCTGTACTAAATATCAGCAAGTCAAGTTTCCTCGCTATATATATATATACAGTTTATTATCTTATTACTTTCTTACTGTTCCTTGCAGGTTCCAATGGGAATGCATTCCTCAATTTATATACCTTACATTCTTTATAATCTGCTCAACATGTATGTTCTTCAGTAAGTGTTTTTAAATAACTGCTTTACTATATGGCATTTAAGAACTAGCTAGTTCTTATAGTAATTTGCACTTATTAATATGATACTCTTCTAAATGGTTCCTTCTGATATTTCACGCAAGACTTTCTTTTTGAGAAAGGACACTGTGTACTTTGTAACCCACAGTTAAAGAATACATTGTACTGAAGGTGTTCAATAATTCCTATTACTAAGTTAAATGGAAATTAGCTTTCTTATTATAAATTGATAGAGAAAACAATAAAATCTGACCATTATTAAAAGCACTAAATAATTGAAATAGGAAGAAAAGTTCTAAAGGAGTAGGGGAAGTGGGAGGGGCAGGCAAGGAAAGAAAAAAACAACAAGAGGAAGGAATGGAAACAAAGTCTTTGTAAATAGGGAAGGGTGGAGGGGATGAAGGGAGGGCAGGGGTATGGGGAAAAAAATAAAAACCAAGGTACATCATGTAAAAGTACAAGATCCCAATGATGAATGTAACTGTATTGTATACCTAAAATGTAACAATAAACTTAACAGAAAAAAATACATAACAAAATAATAAAGATAAAAATAAAAATAAAAGCACTAAAAAATTATGCCCAAATAACATTCAGTTTAACTCTATACTCAATCATAAAAAGATAATGATTTTTGTCTTTTAAAGAATTTTTAACCAGTTTTTTATGTATAAATCGTAGCAAAGTCATTTTTATTGTTTGCCATTTTTATTTTCTCACATGATTATAATTTGAGCCATGTGTCCAGCAAAGTTTAAAACTCTGTTTTTCTAGACTTATGGAAAAGTTGAGTATTTTAAATTTCTATAAAATTATCACAAAGACGAATATCTCATACATCAGAGTAAAAACAATCTTCATCTTTTTTTTTTTTCTTGGTACCAGGAATTGAACTCAGGACCTTGAACTTGCCAGGCAGGTGCAGCACTGCTGAGCTACATCCCCAGCAAAACAATCTTAAATATCCAAAGACACAAATTTTTAAAATGCAATTTAAAAGTTTATGAGACTAGGTTTACTCTGCTGCTAAGGTTAAAGCAGGCTGCCAGAAAACATCATTTGATATCCTCCAAAGAGGAGGACAATTTTATTCTGCATATTTAAAAATGCCAGAACTTGAAACTGGACTCAAACCTATTCACATTTTTGGCCCTGGGCAAACATGAGTGAAAGCTAGAGCCACACCCCGCACTTCTTTAGCTCCTCTGTAACTTCAGGATACTGATCACGCGAGGGGCACACTGATTGGCCTTTACCTGTCATACAGAAGGCAGAGGTAATCTCCCCTCGAAGAAGAGGCTCCAGCCACTGCTGCTTCTGTTCCTCACTTCCATACAGGTGCAGCACCTCTATGTTCCCTGTGTCTACACATAAGAAAAACCTGTGTTTTACATTTACGTTGGCCACTATGAAACCCGTAACTTCTATAAATGATACAGGCATGCATCTTTTGAGAAAACATTTCCTAACAACAATATTCTGAAACATGCATTAGGTAGAATTTTCAAGGAAAGCATACCATAAATAATTACAAGTACATGGCACTCAGTGTATATTTAACTTATTCTGAACGTGCATAGCATTGTTGTCTTTTTGCTTCTAATGCTACTTTTACTTTTGTTCAAGACAGACCACCTAGAAAAGTACTAGGACCTCCCTCAAGCAGGGCGACAGACAGAATCCCTGCCTTGGATAGAAAACAGCAGTGATAATTTCAAAGATCCATGTTTTTCAGTACATAACACACCATGGTATCTTTCTTAGTTAAAAGAATACTTTATGTGTGCCATAAGCAAAATACTCTGCATGCTTCTATGATTTCCACTGCTATCCAATTTCTAAAACTGCTATCTAAAACCACTCCCTGGCATACTGATTACTTCAGATTTGAGGAAAAGTGCTTCAGTATCGCCTCTTATCATGATGCTAAGGATAGTTACTGAAATGCCTATGAAAACTTGAGTTAAGGCTAAGTAAACTCAAGATATGTTTGTGCTTGGTTAAGACACTTTTTTTCTCCCAGTACAAGGATCAAACTCAGAACCTTGCACTTGTGAGGCAGGCATGGAGCCACTGAGCTACATCCCCAGCCTGGTTAAAATACTCTTCACTTGATCTTAGCCAAAAGGCCGAGAAGCGATTGGTTAAAATACTCTTAACAATCATTATTATATCATGATGCACAAAATTCCTGGTAGATTAACACAAGCTTAAATTTTTTTAAGTGAGGGGAAAAAAATAAGCCTTAAGTTATAATTAATGAAACTCACTGTTTGCTTTCTTTTCTTGTTTTACATTGTTTTGTTATTATAATTCAAATATTTAACTACTGAATAAAAATTCCTCAAATTATCATTTTATTCTGAGAAGCTAGCAGTTATAATTTATGAGTGGGGAAAATAAGCCCAGTTACTTTAACAATCTAAATTTTTTCCCATTTAAAAAATATCAGCCCAAAAGCTTTAAAATTTTCCAGTAGTAGATTTGGCATTGAAATTACTATTTCCAATTACTATTTCATGATTTACTGAAAGGTGAAAAAAAAAGATAAATAGGAAGACTATGTTTCCCATAAGCTTTTACAACTACATTATTTGGGAAATGATTTGGGTAATTTACATAGAAGCTAATCTTTTATATTTAAGAAACCTCCCAACGTATTTCATCAGCCTCAGTTAGATTTCTTTATCTGCTTTGGAAATGCTCCAAAACACAATGTTCAAGACCTCAGTGAAGATAACTCAAGTACTAGATGAAAACACTTATTTTTCTACTTTCACTTTTACAAATCTTATTTGGCTAGGAAAGTTGCTAATAATTCCTTAGTCGAGGAAAGTGTGTTTTCCTGCCATTTTAAAAATTTCAATAATCTTGCCATATCACTTGAATGGCAAACTGATAGACTCATGAAATTTTACTCCTTAGAAAAAGTCCATGACCATCTAGTGAGAAGAAATCAATGGAAAAATAGTAGTAGAGTTGCATCTGAGAATAAATCTTCTACAGCATTATTTGTCATGCTATGGCACATGAGTGTAATTATAATTAATCTAACAGAATATGGATAGCATCCTCCAAAAAGGAAAATAGAATAAAATAAAAACACTAGATTAAATTCAGTGGAAAACATTTGAATGCACTACATGTAATAATGCAAAGTGTTTCATAAAAATTTTCAGTAATATATAGGCATATTTATCTAACCATCCACCCATTTATCCATCCACCCATCCATCTATCCATCCATCCATCCATCCATTCATCCATCCAGTAACATACACAACAAATACATATGCTACATACTGGGTCCAAAACCATATATTTCTCGTTATAAACAGCAATAAAACAATTTAAACTAGAACACTACCAGTTTATTTCCCTTTCCACAAAAGTCACACTACCTATGTAGTTTCTTTCTTTCTTTCTTTTTTTTTTTTTGTACCAGGATTGAACTGAGGCCCTTGTTACTGCCAGGCACGCGCAGAACCGCTGAGCTAAATCCCCAGCCCTGTAGTTTCTCGTATTAACTTCATACTATTGAAATGAAATCATTAGAAACTCTGAAGACAGTTTCTTACAATGTACTACAAGCAGTAATTTGATACATCAGTGTTTAGGGAAGGGACAAATTCCTCATCTCCAGAAGTCTATGAACTATCTGAAGAGGGGCAAAGAAACGAGGGCTTAGTATGAAGCTACTTTGCTAAACCTAGACTACATTTTCTCTCTAAAGTCCAATAGAGTTACAAATAACTCTTTTTGGCAGCTTAACACAGCATTAACTCTTGGGGAGAGTCATAGAATTACTGCCATACAATAAGCACAAAAGGCAATACTGAGGCCCAACTTCTACAGGGACATTATTGGATACAGTACCATAATCACCCTATTATAAATCAAGTACTAGTCTTTAACTGCAGTATCCAAATAACCAGAGTAACTTGGGTGGAAAAGACATCACAAGGGTCTACTCTAGATGCACTAAATCTGAATCTGTAGGATGGTGCCTAGGAATCTGAATTTTTCTAAAGCTTCTTAAGCAATTCTGCAAATCCAGGTTTGAAAACACTTCTTATAGATGACATTCCAGGTTTATTCCCTTCTTCCCCCATCTTTATGATTTGTCACAAGACCTTGGAGGTATCCTTGACTTCTGCATTAACACCCTTTATGCAATCAAGAGCTCCTCTTGGATCTACCTGCAAAATATATTTAGAATCTTTCCACTAATCACCCCTTTCCACTACTGAACCAGCATTATCTTTTACCAGAATAGCCAAAACAGATTTCCTGCTTCCTATTTTCCCACATTTTGTCAATTCTCAACCCAGCAGCCAAAGTACTTCTTTTAAAACAGATTCCATCTTGTCACTACTCTGTTCAAATCCCTAATGGCTCTTCCTCTTCTTGATAGTATAAACCCTTACTGAACCCCTTTACCACCTAGCAAAGGAAGCCCTTAATCCTTAATCTCTTCTACTATTCTTCCCCTAGCACAATGGCCTCCTTAGCTATTCATGGAAATATATCAATCATATTCTTCCCTTAGGGCAGTGATGGCCAAACCAGTCGCACAAGTGTTATTGTGTTTTTCTTTTAGGACATAGATGTATTTTTTTTTTTTCCCCTTTGGTACCCGGGATCGAACTCGGGACCTTGCACTTGAAAGTCAGGCCACTGAGCTAAATCCCTGGCCCAGATGTTAGTGTAGAGTTGTTTTTTCTAAACTAAAACATCAGTACTGTATTCAGGTTTATTGTAGCATTGGCACTTTATGATCAATAAGTGGGTTTGGGGATCACAGTTTGGCACTTGGTATCTGAAAGGTTCACCATCAATGCCTTAGGATCTTTGAATTTTCTGTTCTCTCTGCTATGATGACCCTCCCCAAGATATCAGCCTAAGTCAATCAATTACCTTTATTAAATGCCTTTTTATTAATGAGGCCAATCTTGACCACTTTATTTTAAAGTACAGCTCATATTCTCTGTCCCTCAGTGTTCCAGAGCTCCCATATCCTAATCTGTTTGCTTTTTCTTTTCAAAGTACCATTCACCTTCAGATTAACTGCATAATTTAACTTATTTATTATCTTTGTTGCCCTCTCTTTGTTATTTTTGTTTTCCCTCTATTAGAAATCGATCCTTGAAGGCAGAGGTATTTTTTGTATTTATTAGTATAGCATATTTTATTCACTGATACACTATCAGGACCTAGAAGAATCCTTAGCACATAGCAAGTAATCAGTAAATAACTGGTGAAGGAATGGAGAGATGGTGACGCTAAAAAAGATTTAGAACTCTACATTCCAATCAGTCATAAAAATATCCATCCCCAATCAGGAAATCAAGATCCTTATATAACCAATAACCTTGGTCACTACTTCTACTCACCAATACTCAAGAGGTAATCATGTTTAATAAAAAAATAGCCCAATGAAAACATCAACACTATTTTTTGCATTTAAATCAAATGAACTGAAAAGTAAAATTATGCAGACTTTCTGTTGAAAAACTTCCTTATAATAAAATCAAGAAAATTTAAACACTACTCAAAATATGAGAGAAAATTCTGTTCTCAATTAATGTCGTAACCTGGTGCTTGGCAGTTAAAGATGTTTGGAGCAAAATAGCATTTCCCAGTTTCTTCAGCAATCAAGGCATAGTCCACCTGGCTGAGACCGCTCACAGCTGGCAAAAACAAGTTCCAGAGGCCCTCTGCTTTGGCCATTTCCTGTGAAGGTGATGAAAAGTGTAGTGACCACAGTGTAACGACCTGAAGTAACTTAAAAATACTATGGAGTTATTCTATTCTACAATGTGTAAAATCAAGTGGCTACTGAATTCATTATAAATCAACAGTTTTTTACACTGTTAAGGTAGTATCTTTTCACCTAGGCTTCCTTAGTTTTGGCTGAAAAATTATATTTGCTTACTTTACAGCTTCTTGTTAAATGATAACTATTGTAAAATATCCCAAATTTGAGTATAATTATGCCAAACATATTTTTTGTACATTTCAAATTTTTTTAAAAAAAGAATAAGGAATCTTTATTGAGGGAAAGATAGCTCCTGCCTAAGAGGGACAGGAGACACCCGGAAAGTGGGTTGCCCCTATACATTTCAGTTTTTATGTGTGTTGCTAACAAGATTTTAAATATGAAATATGGATTAAGCGCATCTGAGACAAATGGTACAAATGGTGTTTTCTCTTTCTCTCTCTTTCCCCAAATCTCTCTCCCTCTCCTTGTGCTCCCAAGCCTTGTGCATGCTAGGCAAGTTCTACCACTGAGCTACACAGGCCTCCAACATCCTGCTTTGATTTCAGTCTCAATTTAGTAATGGGTGATAATGGGTAATGTTGATCTCTTTTCTTTGAATAGCTAAAGATGCTATCTTCATCACATGCCATATATAGAATACCACATGGCCCAATTTATGTATTATAGATTGTAATTTTAAGTTTCCTTTTAAAAAAGTTATTACTGATATAATTACTCTCTACATATATACAGCAATAACAAAAACTAAGGTGTGCAAAAGCACTTGCAATGAAATTTCCAATGTAAAAGGTTTTCTTACCTTGAGTTTATCAATCACCGAAGGTTGTTTCCACCTCTTCACTGAATTTTCATTTTGAACATAGTACTCAAAAACTTCCTTAAAATAATAACAGAAAAAAAGTTAGCTCAAGTTAATACAAAATAAACAATGTCATACAGATACTATCCAATGTAAACATATTTAGGTGAAGAAACTTTTTCAGCTGATATTAAATCAGTAATATGCCTTTTTTTGTGGGGGCGTGGTTACCGGGGATCGAACTCAAGTCCTTGCACTTGTGAGGCAGGCAGCAGAACCATTGAGCTAAATCCCCAGGCCAGTAATATATCTTTTTAAAGCCAGACACAAAACAATAAAAGGTCTGCTACTCACAAAATTATGCTGCCTCAATATTGGTAATAATCTCACATTTGAGTGTTCCATTTCCATAGTATGGCACCCTAGATATCACCCAAATAAAAAGACTAGGTAAAATATTTAAAATAACTCTAAAATACATTTGGTATAGCATAGATGAACCGGAGTGAAAAGGTGTGGAACTAAGTGCAACTCTTCAGATGTGAGGGAATACTGGAGACAAAACTTTGAGGAATGAGGTCCAATATGAGTTAGCTTTGGCCCGGGGCTTTCACAGGCTACACAGCAAGGCATCAGGATACAAAGCTAAGTAGTACAGCAAGAGGGAGGGTCAGGGATCACCCCTGTCCTCCACCAAATCCAGCATGCTTGATGGATAAAATCTAAGCAGAGAGAAAAAAAAAAAAAAAAAAAAGAAACAAACACAAAAATCCCCATCCTCTCAAAGGTAGACCAGGGAGTTAATAGATTCATAGATGGGTCTTATTTCTGGTGGAATAGATAAAAGAAACATTTCTAAACCAAAGCCTATTTTCACCCAAGTTTGGGATCTGAATTCAAGACCTGTGTGACCCTTAAACCTCAAGCCAAAAATTAATATCACTGGCAACTGTCCCTCAAACACCTGGTAGAAACAAAAGCAAATTCTGAAAAATAGAACATTAAGCAAAAGCCTTAAAGAGGTCCCCCAGATAAAACTGCATTCCAAGGAAAGTGAGCTCACCATGAAAAATTACTAATCACTAAAGGAACCAAGCACCCTAAGCAAGAATTAGCAACAATCCAACAAAACGGTCATGTTTCCCAAAGACTATAGATAATGATCAGATATAGAATGTGAAATGTTTATGTTTAAGAGACTTGAAGAATAAAGGAAGAAAGTAAGAGTATGAAAAAGGACTATCAAAATCAACAGAAAATTTGAAAAAGAACTGACTGCAACCCAAAGGAAAAGAAAATTTCGGTAATTAAACTCCATGACAGTGGTACTCAAACATTGGTGGGTATTAGTATCCTTGGGGAAATGGGTGAAAACAGGGGCCGGAGCCCTATCTTATCTCAGTGAGACTGCGTGCGTGTGTGCGTGCGTGCGTGTGTGTGTGTTTAAGAGCTTTTAGACAATTCTGACACACTCTGAAATTACAGAACTGTTGTTATGTGGAGAGCTGAACAGCTGTCTAAATGCAACTAAAAAAAAAGACTGGAAGAAAGCTATGAAGCAATTATTCAGAATGTAGCACAGAAATTAAAAGGAAACTATGAGTGGGTAAGGGATGTGACGGATTCAGAGAGAATTTCTAATGTAAGGAGAGATGAAGAGAAGTGGAGAGAGAGGAAATATTTAGAACAATTATTTCAGGAAGTTTCAGAACTGATAGAAAATAGATGTCTTCAAATTTAGAAAGAAGAACAATAAAACTTCCAAAGAAAAATAAGAGCTCTTAAAAGGAGGAGGAAGGGAAAAATAGAAAGGTTATTGATAATTAAATAAATAATAGTGAGAGCTGACTTCCCATAGCAACAAATGAAGCCAAAAGAAGTAAGATAATGTCTTTAATTGCTAAGAGAAGGGCCGGGGATTTAGCTTAGTGGTTCTGCCACTTGCCTTGCAAGCGCAAGGACCCAATTTCTATTCCCAGTACAAAAGAAAAAAAATCCTTGCGAAGAGAAAATATCTATCATCCTATAATTCTATATCTAATACAACTGTCTTTCAAGAATTGAAATGAAGTTATCATTTCTTCCTGTGCCACTCCCCCTCCCCGGAAAAGAGACAAATAAAGATTAACAAGGAAAAAGCTTGCCCACAGATTCTCAGTAAGGAAGTTGATTCTAGAAGAAACATCTGAGTTGCAAGAAGGAATAGTTAAATAAATAGTAAAATAGTAAAACAAATATGTGGGTAAAGCTAAATTAAAAGCAAGATAAAATAACAACCTTTACTTTGTGTACCTAAAAGAAGATACAACAAAAACACAGGATTCTACTAGCAGTCTCCAGTATTTTACTAATACAACATCTCTGTACCTGTTAATTTTTCTGTACTTGACCTGGGTATAATTATTGGTTGAAGGCTACAAGCAGTGTCAAAACCTCTCACCCATGTTATCACATTTTCTACAAAGACACACTCCAATAAGCAATGTACTGACAAACTCCTTTCATTGAAGAATGGTTAGTCTACAGTACTGCTGTGTGCGTTGAGAATTCAAGAAGGCAAAGGCCTGCACTTTCAAAGGCAGCAGGGTGAACACTTCTCATCATTTTTCTCAGGAAGACAGTTAAACTGGAAGATTTCCTGTTTGCGGATGTTTATTATTTCCATCCTTTGTATTGCCACAGAAATAGTCAATGCTGTGGTGTTTGGTAATAAATATATTACACAAATACATTTACAATTTCCTCATTTCTGAATACCCCTTTATGATAATATAGTTATGAAAAACTTAAATTATGTTAATGTTTAATACTTCATATGATAAAGCCTATCCACTGAAAAAACTGAAAAATGTATCTGTGGTCGAGGAGAGCCTGTTTCCACTAACACAAGGTAATCCCAGAGAGGGTCAGCAGCTGCAAGAGAAACAATGGACCAGGCCAGCAGCACTAGCCCTGAGAAAAGCTCATGGTTATTGTTAACTGCAAAAAAACAATGTAGGGTTTTACTCTCAAAGGAACTCCATCTACTAGACATGCTAGGTTTGGAGAAGAAATCCAGTGCAGCACCTCTCATATTTGAAAGTGCTTAATTGTTTAAGACTTAGCTATAGAACAACTATAGAACAGCTGTAGGTTTCTGGGGTCACCCTTCAGAGTTTCTGGTGTCACCCTACCACAGTGGCTAGGTGGGTGACAGCCACAAGAGATAGGTGTAGAAAGGGACAAAGGGTGGAAATAGACCCTCTGAGCAGCTTAAGTTCAAGCCAGGAAGTGAGGGTTGTGTCCTCCAAGTTGAGAAACCAGGTGAGTCACGTGTAGTTTTCAGAGGTGTCTGGTTCTGAAAGTGCTGACATTACATCCAGTAAACTCCTTGGGCCCTGTGCCCCACTGCCTATACCTAGCACAGTGCTGTTTTCTTTCCCAACCTGCCAATGTGATCAGAGATATATGTTGGCTTGGACATTTGCCTGGAACAGTGGGGTGTCACACAAACTCACAGGCTATACAGGTAGGAGGCAAAATCCATGACATGGGGCAAACAGAGGGTCACAGAAACTGGGGAGTGAATAGAGCCCTAGGACAGACACCATTGACCAACCACACCCAGCAGGAAAAGCAGGGCAGAACTCACCATTCACACACAAAAACATGAGTGTGGAAACAAAATGGAACTTAATAATTACTCACTATCCTTCCCTCATAGCTGATGGATTCCAATCTATAGACTCTGGAAAGAAAATACACATTCAAAAACACAGAGAATATTTTGGGCTAATTTCTCTTTTTCTTCATTGGTTTTTTGGGGGGCCTTGGTGGCAGGAAGTCTTTTGTTTTTTCTCTCGCTCTCTTTTTTCTTGATTGTTCCTTTCTGTTGCTTTTATGTAATTCTATTAATTTTGTTTTACTTCTTAATAGGATTCTTTATTTTACTTTTTTCTCTGCACTGTCTTTTTTTTTTTTTTTAAAACCAGTGAAACCATAGTGTTTATTTGCTGGGGTATGTGAGACAAACTATACCACAGAAACAAGAGCTCCGTGGAGGCGGTGGCCTGGGACAAAGTAGAAACTGGAGAAAACAGAGAGAGGTAGAAGAAACTGGGAATCTCAAATTGTTCATCTGCTGTGGGTCACCAGGAAGTTTCCCTTGTTGTGGAACTGATTACTGGCAACCAAAAGCAGCCTCGCTAACAGAGTTCTCTGTGGCTCAGTTTCCCACACATGCAGACGTTTAGAGTTCTTCTCAGAACACATGCCCTGACTGCAAAGAAACAGCATCACAAGCTACCAGTCTCAGCCAGTCCCTGCTGCATGATATTCCCAGCAGGGCTGTCACCTTCCCTGTATAGGGACCTAGAGACATCTTCCCAAGGTGCAACAGGTGCAGCCTCCTCCAAGGGGCCGGCTCCAATGTCCCTTGAAGGTGGTGAGAGGCCTGCTAAGTGGACACACAAGACGCGAGAACCACCAGGCGCCACGCTGTCTCACTGAGTTATCTGCCTTCCAAAGAGGCAAGAAGCACCCAATTCCAGGGGGAGAAGCCGAGCAAGGGTCCCAGAGAAAAGCCAGGTCCTCGAGGGCCAGGACACCCCCGTCCAGCCCATGCTTCGCTATGCCTTCACTTCTGGCTTCGGTCCAAAGTCGAAGGTCCCCGCAGAGAGCTCCAAGTCATGCCACAGGGCTGTGTGACTTTCGGACTCCCCAGCCCCTAGATCACTGCTCCTTCAACAAGACGTGCTACACGGACTGCAGAGGCCAAGGGGACACAGGTTGGCTGGCACCCGGCCTCTGACGAGGTTTGCCAAGGGCTCTGCCAGACACAGCAGAGGTCAGGAGTCTGCACTGGGCAGCAGTGGCCCCCTGTTTCCCTGGAGGGTCACACAGGGTGTAGTCACGGCGTGCTCAAGCCCACCCTCCCTGCCCACAGTGCGCCGCTCCTCCTCCAGCCAGGCACTTCAGGTCGCTGCTGGGCCCTTGTGCTGTGCCGTCTCACCTCTGCTGCGGGGTGGGAGAGAACCAGGCCGAAGGGCTGTGAGGGGCGCCAGACGCCTAGCGAGAGCCGGGCACACACCAGCTGTTATTATCAGGAGCCAAACTGCAACATGAAAACACATTTAATGCAACATGCCGCTGTGGCCAGGCCTCGGGCTCCTCCCCGGCATCCGGGAATTCTATTTGGAGAACCCCTTCTCTAGAGCCTCAGTCCCTTCGGGATGCAGGAAGCGGCTGGCCAAGCGTTCAATGTCATCCAGCGTCAGGCGGCTCAAGGACCTGTCATAATCCCTCTGGAATTGTTCCAGGACCCTGCTGGCATCAGCAGCACTGTGGGGCCAGGACTTTAGAGACCAGCTGCCAGACAGGCGTAGATGGGGGCTCTGCCCCAACGTGGGCAGCCCCTTCTTGCAGGAGCACCTTCTCCAGAGGTTTCACCACCAGGCTGAGCTTGGAATTGGGCCCAATGCCGTAATCTGACAGTCGTTTCCCAACTGCTAGGGCCTTGCCCTTGGACAGCAGCCGCTGCTGGCGCACAAGGACGTTCAGCTTCTCGGAGACGAGTTGCTTCACCGTGGCCACCAACTCATCCTCGGGCACCTGCAGGCTGCACTGGCGGCCCTGGAGCACCTCCACCAGCAGCTGCATGGTGAGCGGAGTGGCATCCACTAGGGCCGGCTCCCCAACGGTCTCCCGTCACATGACGCTGTCTTGGGCACGCGACTGGAACCACCTGCCTCCTCTTGTCTTCTTTTTCCAATTTTCATTTGTTTCCCCTTCCCATCCCCGCCACTTTTATTAGTATTACTATTATTTGTTTCATTTATTTACTTATTGTGGATTTTTGAGACAGGGTCTCACTTTGTAGTTCAGGCTGGCCTCAGACTCGAGGCCTCAAACTGCTGCCTCAGCCTCTCAAGTGCTGGGATTATAGGCATGCACCACCATACCTGGTTCACCATTACTCTTTGCCAATCTTTAAATATTTAGTTGACTGTTATTATTGCTGAATTATTTTCTGTTGTTAATAGTGGTATGGTAGTTGCATTTAGTAGATGTTTACTACATATTAATATTTGCTTTGTCTTTGTGTTTATATTATTATTATAGATATTTTTTGTATTGTTCAGGGGGTATAGAGTAGCTTTTATTGGTTCTTATGGTATATCAATATCCAGTTTGTCTTTGAATCTCTCATTGTTGATTTGACTGCTATTGCCAGGGTGGAATAGTTGTTGCTATTAACTGGCTTTTATTGTATACAAAATATGAGGAAAAAATATAACATATATGTAAGTGAGGAATATGGAACATCAAATAACCATGATCAGAAAAGCACTTTTCCATGACACAACCCAATCAAAAATCCCCAAAATACAATACATGTGAAGAATCTTAAAAGCTGTTAGGAAAGAACTTTAAAAGTAAACTCATTAGAATTACAGCACACTGCAACATAAAGCCTAAAACCAGAAGAACACGGAGTGAAGTGTTTCAAGTCCTAAAAGAAAATAACTCAACTCAGATTAAAATATCCTGTAAAACCATCTTTCAAAACTGATGGAGAAACCAAGACATATCATGTAGGCAAAAGATCCCAATGATAAATGTAACTGTATTGTTTGCTTTAAATGGGCCAATAAACTTAACAGGAAAAAAACAAAACAAAATTGACGGAGAAATAAAGACTTTTCATGACAAAGAGCACCTTAAGAAATTCATTACCACCAAAGTAGTGCTTGAAAAAATTCTAAAGGATGCCTTAAAAAGAGACAACAAAGCCAATAGTGCCAAAAAGTTTAAAATGAATGCACCAGGTATGGTGAACAGTTAAGCAAAAGAAAAGAAGAGGGGAATCTGCCACAGTAATTTGTAGCAATAACTCAGTGTGAATGGTCTTAATTCTCTAATCAAAAGACACAGACTGGCCGAATAGATAAAAAAAATTCACTGGTATATTGTTTACAACAAATACATTTAAACCAAAAAGAAATTGACAGACTAAAAATCAAAGGACAAAAAATAATATTCTACCCTGGATTTGGGAGCCCCAAAACAAGCAGGAGTAGCTATCCTATTTTCAGAAAAAGTGGACTTAAAGTCAAAACTGATCAGAAGAAGCAAAGAAGGTACATTGGTTAAGGGAATAATTCCATAGGAAGAAAGAACGATTATAAATATATATACACCTAACACTGGCATACCCAAACTTCATAAACAAACACTACTGGATATAAAAGATCAGATAAAACCTAAGACAATTATAATGGGGGAACTCAGTAGTCCTGTCACAAGTAGATAAACTAGACAAAACAACAACAACAACAACAACAACAACAAAAAGAAACAGCAGAGCAGAATCAAACCTTTGAATAAATGGACCTAATAGATAGCTACAAAATATTCCATCCAACAACAGAATACATATTCTTCTCAGCACAGAACTTTCTCAAAATAGACTACACACTAGCCCATAAAACATGTTGAAATAAATATAAAATAATCAAAAATTTCCTATGCACATCAAATCATAGTATAATGAAACTAGAAATCAATGGCAAAACCACAGAAATTATATAAACACATGGAAATTAAACAATATATTGTTGAATAATTACTGTCATAAAACAATCAAATGATGATGCCATTACAACATAACAGAACCTATGGGACACAATGAAAGTAGTCGTAAGAGGGAAGTTTATGACTGTTAATGCCTACATCAGAAAAACAGAGCAAGCCAAAATAAATAACTTCATGCTGCACCTAAAGGTCCTAGAAAACCAAGAATAACTCAAATCCAAAGCTAGTACAAGGAAGGAAATTATAAAGATCAGAGCAGAAACTGATGAAACTGAGACTAAAAAACCAATGCAAAGAACCAATAAATTGCAAACCTAGTTCTTTGAAAAAATAAAGTAGATAAACCTTTAGCCAATCTTAAAAAAAGAGAAAGACCTATATCAATGGAATTAGAAATGAAAAAAGTAAAATCACAATAGACACTGCTGAACTCCAGATTATTAGTAATTACTTCCAAAAACTGTACTCCAATAAATTAGAGAATCCAGAAGAAAGGGATAGATTCCTAATACATATGAATTAGTAAACTGAATCATGAAGATATAAAGCCTTGAATAATCCAAAAACAAGTAATGCAACTGAGGCAGTAATGAAAAAACCTACCAACTAAGAAAAGCCCATGTCCTGATGGGTTCACCACTAGAACTAGATGTTCTGTAAGAACATCAGGTAAAAAATCTAAGAGAAGTACTCCTCAATAAGACTATAAGAGCAAGACATATGAATTAGTAAACTGAATCATGAAGATATAAAGCCTTGAATAATCCAAAAACAAGTAATGCAACTGAGGCAGTAATGAAAAAACCTACCAACTAAGAAAAGCCCATGTCCTGATGGGTTCACCACTAGAACTAGATGTTCTGTAAGAACATCAGGTAAAAAATCTAAGAGAAGTACTCCTCAATAAGACTATAAGAGCAAGAAGCAATTTAAATATGTTTGGGGACCATTTTCATCTCCAGAATTAAGGATTATTCTAATGTTACATCATTGCCTTTTCTCTTTTACTTTCCTTTTTAGTTTTATTTTAGGGTTCCCTATTTTTAATGTTCATACAGAGATTTCTTTAACTGAAATACCGAATAGTTTCTTTGGTGTGAAAA